CTAGAAAAGGAAAGAAAGTGAAATCTGAGTCTGATATTGTTGTCCTATAGGAAACTGGAACTATTCTCTCTTCAAAGGCCATGGAAATTGTGACTAGAGTCTCTTTTGGTTTTTGTTTTTCAAGACAAAGTTTCTCTGTGTAACCCTATCTGTCCTGGAACTAGCTCTTGTAGATCACGCTGGCCTTGAATTCACAGAGATCCGCCTGCCTCTGCTTCCCAAGTGCTGGGATATTAAAGGTGTGTGCCACCACCACCCAGAGTGATAGGGTCTTTGAGGTCTATTTTGATCAGTAAACGGATTTTCTTAAATCTGTGATGAATTTGCTGATAGTTACTTAAGCACCAAGCTGAGAACCAAGCTGTTGCCATAACTACAGTGTCTTGTGGTGGGAAAGCTCTCAGGGAAAAGCATTTTAGTCACAACAAATCTTTGCAATTCAGACTAAAAGAAGTAACTGGGAGAAGCCAGGAAAAGTGTGGACTGTAGACTATAGAAGTCCTTATCCTCTCCCTCTCCCCTTTCTCTCTCCGGGTTCTCTCACTGGTCTGGAACTAATCAATTCAGCCAGTGAGTCCTAGAGAGGATCCTCTGGTCTCCCCACTTTTGGGATTACGTACGTGTCACCACGTCTAGCTTTTTGTGTGGATTCTGGTAATTGAACTCAGGTTCTCATGTTTGCATGGCAAGAAGTTTATTGGCTCCAGTCCAACAATTCTGAATGAGTTTGAGTAGCTAGAACAATGCCAGTTCTCTCAAAGGAAACAATTTATCCAACACACATTTGCTGAGTACCTACAGTGTACCACACAAATCTCATCGAAACCAGTATGTCCAAAATCTTTTCTGCGAAGCAAAAATAATCTGTTTCCCTTTTGTGTTTGTGTGTCTGGTCTCTGATTCAAGTGATACAGAGAAACAGAAAATACAGGTTTCAAGACAATAAATACTGCATTAGTAGAATGATACCAGGACCAGATGTACTGAAAACAGGAAGCAAACCCATCTCCCTTTGTCCATCATCAAAGCAAGGTTCCCAAGTCTGACGCATTCTCCTTTCATTTTGCGTCAACATGAGTCTTATTTTAAAACCTATAGTGCTTTGGCAATAATGGTTCCTTAGAGGCCATTATTTCGACCTGATGTTTGTGTGCTCAAAGAGCTGGATTTCTGTTTGCTTCCTTTGTTTTAATTCCAGGTTTTACAGAGCAGCTAAGGCAACTATAATGACATTTTTAAAAAAATATATTTTAAATGAGAAAAGGTAAAAAAAAAAATGAAAAAAAGGGAATGCTGTTCCAGGATTGTACACAAACTGCAAAGGGGAGAGAGAGAGAGAGAGAGAGAGAGAGAGAGAGAGAGAGAGAGAGAGAGAGAGAGAGAGAGAGAGAGAGATTACTAGATCTAGGACAGCTGAAAGGTTCTGCAGCCTTTACTTCTAGAAAATGGGCTCTAAGATACCACATTAGTTCCTGCCAGACTTGTGTAACTAACCAGTTCAAAGAATTTACAATTTGAGGTTTTTTTTTTTTAAATAGCTATACAGATCTTCTTGGAACTTCAAACTGCTATGTGCCAATGAATTCTCCCCACAAAAATCACATACTGTCTGTGTGGATTACAGATGAACCTACTTAACTCATAGACAGCTAGGGTCACAAAGACCAAGACATCCGCCTGAGTCCATTCATTTGGGAGTTGTTCATAAATAAGGAAACTCCCAGTTGCCAGCTTCAGGTATAGTGACTTTCTCCTGGGTGTGCCTTGGTTTATGGTGTTGTCTGTGTTCTCAGGGTCCAGACAGAGAAGCTGTGTTAAAACCCACATGACTGGTTAGCTCGGTATTAAGCCTCCCATCTTGCTCATAGTCATTCTGCCACAAAATCCTGTTCTGTGGGGTTTTTGTACATTTTTAATTTTGAATTGCAGCCTGAAAGGGCTATGCACCACTAGAACTCTCTGTCTTTAAACTGGCTGTGGTTCAGAAACACATCTTTCTGTTTTTGTCATGGCGACATTTGTTTAAGGAGAAAAAGAATCATTAATTTCTTTCTATGTGACAGATGTCAAATGCATGGCTTAACCAATCTTAAATTAGGACTTCTTTAGATCCTAATTTAATTTAGGTTTCTCACAGCAACCCAGGAGCTAGGCTTCTTGTTTCATATTAATGAAGTACACACAAATATACCACAGAGACAGAAAACCATTCAGGACTGGCTGATTCTTGTGTCTATGTGTTACCAGTGTACTACACCCGGCTTGCAGTGGCTTCAACACTTGGCCCAGCTTCCATTCCAAACAGACCCAGAGAAAGTGAAACACGTATTATAGTTTAGCTGTATATGGAGGCTTAGGTAGGTTAGCAACCATGTTTTTATTTGTGCTCAATCATTTAATGGATACACGTCTCTCGGGGTGATCTAATAAACTATGGATATGATAGTCTTGAAGTATGTCGAGATATGAATATCATGGATATGATATTCTTGAAGTATGTCTAGGTGGACTAGAAACAGACTCAAGACCTCTGAGTTTAAGGGTGAGTGTGTGGTAAGTGTGTTAGGACGAGTTGAAATCATCTACAACAGAGAGGAGAGCGTGATTGGTTCAACCTCACTCTCTTAGTAAATGTTAACCCCCGCCTTGCCCCCAGGAACATCAATGACAAGCAGCCCTGGGTTCCAGCAGCTAGATCCCACTTTCTAGTTGTAGAACCTTTCATCGAAGTCTGATTGCTCAGTCTAAAGCCATCCCAGGTCTTCCGGTGCTGACTGGAAGATTCATGGGAAATGAAGTCTTTATCAGCGTCAGAGTGAGCACTCAATGCGGTTAAGGGCTTCTGGCTGAATCGTTGCTTTTTCTGATTTGACTAATTCACAGTTACTAGAGCTAGAACAGGTCTTCATGGTCATCTTTGTCAAGCCCCGTTTTGTAATGAAACTGAGCCCCAGAGAAGCTGGATGTGACATCGGGCTGCTGAGGACATGGTCAAGTAGGTAACAGAGCCAATTTGAGGAGAAAGTTCTCTTGGAACTCAAGAATCTTTCTATAGTGGCTAAGATGGTCTGAGTGAAATTGCGTGACTATCTCCTTGATCCCACTTAAGCAGCCTAAACACAGTGCTGTCGGCATAGACTCAAAGGACCCCACTTCCTGTTGTGGGAACACTTGTGCATCCGTGCCCACTGCAGCTCTGTTTTCAATAGCGGGGAAACGGAATCAGCCTAGATGTCTACTGACTGACGCCTGAACAATGGAAGCGGTTTGTGGACCCACTGGGCTTTTGTTCAGTTATGCCACCAACTCCCGCCCTCCCCTACAAACATGAAGCTCGGAGTACATCATAGAAGAGGTAACAGAAAGAACCTAAGAGCTGGAGGATCCGCGGGGTGCTGAAGGGACGTGGCCTTGGTGGTCATGGACTCCCAGCAGCTCTGTTGACCTGAGCAGATCAAGCTTGCCAACATTCCAGCATGGACTAGGGAGAGGTTCCTCAAATCTCACTTCTAGTTGGTGAGCTAACTAGAAGTGGAGTTAATGGGGGCTGGGGGCTGGGGGCTGGAGGGAGTCATTTCTCTTCATGTCACAGCTTCTGGTAAAGTAAACAGCCTCCCACTCCTGCTCATTTGAGCAACCCTGATTAAATCCAGGGGATCTTTTAACAAACCATGGAGGGAGGAGGGACTGTTGTGAAGGAGTCTGAAGTACAAGGGAGAGAGGGGTGGGGAGGAAATGACCAAAGTATACTATAGTTGTGTATGAAACTGTCAACAAAATATTTAGACAACGACAAATTATCTAAATATTTTTAGAAAGAGAAAATCAGTAAAGAAGTTAATATTCTGGCTTTTCTTTATACAAGCCAACATCAAGCTGTCGGCTTCTGGACTTCAGACTGATCCACACTTTCTATAACATATGCTCCTCTTGCTCAGTGAGGTCCACCCATAGCCGCTCCCTTCTGGAATGGTAGCTGGAGAGGCTGGCAAGGCCTCCTCTTGTCCTCTGGCCCAGGCCAACACCAGCAACAGCGGCCATTAAACAAGCCGGGGGTAAATACTGGTTGGATGGTGGGTGCTCTTTATTTTCCTTTCTGTTTAATGATTGCCTTCCTCATTGCCTGGAAATTTCAATCGTACATTTCTCAAGTCGCTAGTATGATGCCTAAGGGAGACCATCCACAAATGCTTCTTGAGTGAGTAAAAGAACGTGTGTTTATATTTGGATACTCTACCTACCAGTAAATTAAGAAATATACATCAATTATTTTAAAATTTTTTCAGTCTGAAAGACTGTAGCACCATGTAGCCAGAAACTCAATTAACTCTAGCTGTGTTTCCAACTGCCTGGCTTCCTGAAAGTAATGTGATCGAAAATTGCCAGGGACATTTCTTTCCAGACGATTCTATTAGTGGATTATTGAGGTCTTTTTATACAAGTCACACCCATTTATTTTTTTGTGGTCCTAATTTCTGTCAGAGAGGGATGTAGAAAAGGGAACAAAAATGAGAGTTTTTCAAAGTATTACTCTGACAGCGTGGTGTGCTGGCAAGTCCTTGAGAAAGCTGACAATGTTCTTAAGGGTGTGGTTTTCCTTTTTTGAACTCTCTGTCTCTCCGTGTGTGTGTGTGTGTGTGTGTGTGTGTGTGTGTAAGAGAGCGAGAACTATGAAAATATGTCAGCTTTTAATGACTAATTTTGTGGTACCAAGGAGTAAACAGAGCCTGGCTCTACATCACCCTGGCTGGATGTGAACCCCAACTCCACCATGTGCTCCATCCCCTAAATTCTCTGAGCTTTATTTTGCTCTTCCTCTATAAAACAGCAATAAGATGCATCAGGGCATCCAGTGGTTATTAGGAAACACAATGAACACAAAGCTTTTGGACGATGCCTAAATAGTGTTTGTCACTGTTGCTATAGCAATAGTCAAATGGAGAATAGCAAACCTCCAAGGAAGTGAAAAATTAAAATAAGTTTATTCTTTCTCTCTGCTGTAGCTTTACTTCTTTATTGACCTCCCCCTACCCCCAGTCACTTCCTCCATGTCCCCATTTTAATGCACTCAGTAGCAGAGCAGAGACTCACACAGCACACACTGTGACCTGCTCTTTAGGTCAAACTTTGAACCTCAGTGGGCAGCAAGATCAAAAACTGCCCGAGAATCCCTTTGTGTTTTTATCCAACAAACATGCTTTCCATACAGGAAAGCTGTCTGCTTTCAAGCCTCAATCTGTAGCTATATTTATTTATTTTCTCATAGGTTTAATGGCTGAGAGCCCTTGCTGGCCCAAACCTAATGAGAATGTCACCTTCAGATCTTCTGTAGGGTGGAGACTATAAATGTTTATTTATTCATTTATTTATTTTTGTTTTTTCGAGATAATGTTTCCTTGTATCTCCTTGGCTGTCCTAGAACTAGCTCTGTAGACCAGGCTGGCCTCAAACTCACAGAGATCCTCCTGCCTCTGCCTCCCGAGTGCTGGGATTAAAAGTACGTGCTACCACCACCCAGCGAGACTATGAATTTTTCATCCTTTAGAGCTGGGGATGGGCAGGAGAGCTAGCAAAAAAATAAGAGAGCTAAGTGTGTTAAAGCAAAGAGGTATTGGGTGAGGTACGGTATTAGCCAGTGATTTCAAAACAGAAGCTGTGAGCCCAGGGCTTGCTTACCCCAAGGATCTGGCTGAATATGAAGCAGTAGATGGGTGTGACCGCCCCGTTCACAGACGCGCTCACAGCTCCCACCAGCATGTAGTGCCATTCTGGAGCATTGAACTTCAGAATCCTTCTCACGGGGGCGGGTTCAACCTCTTCCTCATTGTCCTTAGGGAAAGAGAGGGTTACATCAGTTACCCAGACACATTCATAACCTTTGGCGCCCACAGGGTTAAGAGTAGCAGGCTGACTCATTATGAGTGACTCCAGAGACCGTGAGATGTGGTGACTTGTCCCTGGTATTGGTTGGGACTGTGGCCTGGCTGGGAGGGTGGGGCTGTTCACTAAGTAGTGAGTTGATAGCGCTCACAATCGCACGCTGCACGCCAGCTAACTCTCAAGCAGGAAGGAGTGTGTTGTATCTCTGAAAACAACTTTGCTAAGTGTGCTTTACAACATTAAGAACTTTGGGAAGCTTCGAGTTTAGTTCCCATGCATATCAAGCAGGGTTCTTTAAGCTAGTAGCTGGCCGAAGCTCTGGGACAGAACAGTGTATCTGAGTCGAGATGCATTTGGTCCACAACGACCGTGCACTCGCGTTCATGACGTTTTCCTTAACGAGGGCTCACAAGGCAGCAGGCCTGCAGCTGGGCTTCTGAACTGCACATTTCCCCCCACAGAGAGTGAAAATTAATCAGGATTTCCCCACTCTGGTCATTTTCAGTTGGTATTAGAATATCACAGCTAGTAACTTTCATCCGCTTGTGGGCAAGAATTACGTATAGAACCTTGTTTTATTTTTCATCTTTTGTTTGTTCATTCAATAATTTGTTGAACTTAAGATCTACTCTGAGATAGGATTCTAGGTGACTTACACAGCTTTATATTGATTTTTAAACTTTTTCTGTTAAAATATATTAAAATACCTACCTATACATTACAAAAATAATTCCACAAAATAATTATTGGATGTCCTTCTTTACTAGTACAAGTTAATATAGCTAAATATCAGGAACAGAAAATGGTACAAAGCTTCGGAAAAATTTCCCTTTTCTACAAAGTCAAAGACCACATGACCAGTTCAGCTTAAATGAAAGGCTGCAGCGACGGCCGTTTCATTACCGCTGCAGCTGGAGCTGGTAACGAATTTGTCATCGTCTCCCTGTTGAGTTTTCTCTTGGTCGCCTTCAACATTTGCCCAATGTCACTGCTGCTCGCTGGTGCAGCAAATCCTCCTGCTCGGTTGTTTCATCTCAGCCTACTAATTCAGCCATCAGTGCTGCAGAGAGGGTGCCTGAGAAAGGACCCGTGCAGCAGCCAGAGGAAGAATGGATTTCTTGGGAGAACCCTGTCTGGTCACCCACAGAATGTCCAGCCAAGCACTCAACTCTCTGGGCTTTGGCTATCTCATTAAAATGGGGTTGGATGTATCATATTTCTGCACACAGACAATAACTACCTTTGTCCAGACAGCTTTTTGAGTATATTTGACTGGCCAACTACCTTGCAAGACAGAGCTATTCCCTTTACCCCAAGCACTTAGTACATCTGCCCTCTTGAGAGAAGACACGCTCCCAAGTCCGTAAGTTCTCTCCTCTAAACATTTACTTCAAGGTGCTATTACCTGGCCCCCTTTGTGTCTCCTTTTGGGAACTGGTAGTTGATCTGGGGAGCCGGTGCAGAAATACCAAGCTGCAGAGACTTTATTGCTCTGAGTAGTTCAGTGTTCACTCTGACTGTAGTGGATTCTGCCTGCACCCTTGGGATCGTGTCGGACTAACTGGGTGACTTTCAGTATGGCAAAAGTGACCTTTGCAGGCTTTGGTAGTCCAGATCTGGATGCTCGCAGACTCATAGATGTCATGTTAACATTCTCTGAATTCTACCTGTTCCCTAATGGCAGATTGGTTACGTCATTTCCAGCCTAAGAAAACGTAACCGTTCCTGGCTTTCTTGCAGCAAAGCATCCCTAGCCTTAAGCGATGAGATATTTAAAGGCAAAATGAAACATTTTGCCCTGTAGTTTTCATTTCAACATAAACTAATAAATCAAACTAGTTAACTTGAATAATTTTTGTTACTGGCTAAAAAAAAAAAAAAGATCTTAAAGAGAGTTATATCTGCAGGGCATCATTGCAAACACCTTTAAGCCCAGTACTGGGGAGGCAGAGGGAGGTGGATCTCCATAAGTTCAAGGCCAGCCTGGTCTATATGAGAGAGAGAGAGAGAGAGAGAGAGAGAGAGAGAGAGATCCAGGAAAGCCAGGGCTACACAGAGAAACCCTGTCTCAAAAAAGCAAAACAAAATAAAAATAACCTCTCCAAAAAAAAAAAGAAAAGAAAAAGAAAGTTATATCCTACTATACTAAAGCAACTTGAGCAGTAGAGAAACTAGAAAGCCAGTCCCCAGACAATGGCTTATTTTATTGAATTTTATTTGTTACATCTAAATGAACAACAGAAGAATAAAAAGTAATATAAAATCTTTTATACCTTATAAATAATAACTGAATTCTTTCCAAAAGATACAGTGGTCTCCTATCTGCTGTCTAGATAGTTCCATGCTCAACGGGATTTTCCTAGTTTTCTTTCTTAGCTCTCTTGTGTGGGCCACGGTGAAATAAAACTTCCTACTGGAATAGAATGTCCTTCTTTCTATACTTATTTACAATGGTTTCCGTATTCTAACAATAAGAGTCTCCTACCCGGATAATGACTGTCAGATTTAATGATGACATGGTAGATGTTACAAAGAGGCCAAGATTTTCTAGATGAACAAGCATGGACAGACTTTTTTTTTTTTTTGAGACAGGTTTCTCTGTAGCTTTGGTGCCTGTCCTGGAACTAGCTCTTGTAGACCAGGCTGGCCTTGAACTCACAGAGATCCGCCTGGCTCTGCCTCCCAAGTGCTGGCATTAAAGGCTTGCGCCACCACCACCCAGCTGAACAGACAGCCATTTTTATGAGTCCTGTCTCTGTCCTATGTCTTAAGCTAGGACTAAACCCAGTAAGTCAGCAATGATGAAGCTACAAGCATCTAATAAACTCATCCTGACTTCATTCATATATATTCCACTTTTCTCATGTATGTATGCATGCATGCATGCATGTCAATTTTACTGAAAAAGATTCATAAATATTAAAGACTGAAAAAAAAAAACCTCTGATCTGTAGACATTCCCTAATCCTAAACTTAACCTGATCAGGATGTCTACCATCTGATACCATTTGTGGGAGCTAAAGATACTGCTTGGAGAAAGAGAACCGGCTTAGCTCTGTCACTAGCTGACTCTTTGGATGAGTTACCCACGTTGGGTTTATATCAGCTTAAACCTTAGCCCTTCTCTGTGTTCTGTAAATACCCTGAGAGACCACAAGGTGGAGGTAATTGCTTTGTGGAAGTGGAACCTTTAGCAACACACCATATGCTTTCCCACTCCACAGAAGGCGAAGCCCGCCTTCTCCAGCAGAATGAGAAAGAACGAGAATCCTGCTTGGCCTTGTAGACTTTAGTTAAGTGTTAGAATACTTTCAAATACTAAAACAAAATCAAATCTTCGCACACAGTGACTCCTTAGGATTAAATATTGATTAGTTAAAAACAAATAAATGGAAATCCCATTAGTTAAATTACGTTATAGTCTTTGCTTTAAATTTCCTTCAAGTCGAAGGACTCTGATACAGTTACTGTATACACAAAAGTATCAGGGAGACAACAGATCGTTTCCTTTTGGAGTTTGAACATCATAATATCAGCTTCTCAACATCTTTTGCCCTGTTTTGGTTTTCGTCTCCTTTGCAAGAGAAAACATCAAATGTCATCTTTTCAAAGTTGTACTAGCACCATCGAAATGATTTCAGTTGTTTCACTCCTAGCACCATGAACATAAATGAAATAATTAATTCTGGCCCCAAAAGAAGAGCTTCCCCTTTATGGTCAGAAATTACCATTACACATGTGGGGCTACCTCACCATGACTCATCCTGCCAACTCCTGAGAAAGAAGGTTCTATGGAATTTATTCAACATTAAGATCACCATTCAATGTTAGGAGAGCAAGACAGGAGAGAGCCTTAATAACCCATATTTCATAAGATCTTAAAGGGTATCATTCAAAAAATTGTTCCACATCTCTCCTCTGTGAGCCAGTGTTTGTAATGATGTCTTAATAGGTTCACATGTTGGGATTCTATTGAGGGCATCTTGAGATTACATCATGCATAATGAATGTACTTATAATTAAAATATTCCCTGGCTTATTTGATTCAATACGTAAAAGAGTTTGGGCTTCATTTTCATCACAGAAACTCAATTTTTCATTCCAGGTTAAAAAAAAATAAGCAAACGAAAACCTTGCCACAAGGTGCCTGTAAAGATTCAACACAGATGCAATGGGTCAGGAGGTCTAAGGTCTAAGATTTAGTGAGAGGAAAGAGAATGGCTTCAAAAAGGAAGAGTTCCATGCTGAGGTTCTAATGAAGGGCATATAGGGAACCAAGAGTGAGGACGCCCAAGGTGGGGAAGACTTGGGGCTTGGCACATGGTCCCTTGTAAGAAAGACAATGTCTGCAACAGCAGAATACTTATGTTCTCATGAGTGTGCCTTTGTATTTAAAACCTGTGACAATTTGTATCAGGTCTAGTTTTATCAAATACCTTCACCAATTAAGAGAAAATTTTAAACTTTAAGAAGTAAAATGATTCGAGGTGTTATTTAAAACTTTAAAAAGGGGGGCTGGAGAGATGGCTCAGTGGTTAAGAGCATTGCCTGCTCTTCCAAAGGTCCTGAGTTCAATTCCCAGCAACCACATGGTGGCTCACAACCATCTGTAATGAGGTCTGGTGCCCTCTTCTGGCCTGCAGATACACACACAGACAGAATATTGTATACATAATAAATAAATAAATAAATATAAAACTTTAAAAAGTTACCTCCGTAAAAACAAATAATTTGCTATAAATGGTTAAGAAACATATTTTCTGTGTTTTTTTATAATTATTCATCTAAAAATTGGCAGCAATTCCTTAACAATTCAGTTTAACTTAATATATGTTCTTCAAAGAAATTAGTAAATCTCTGTTCTTTGCGTGGGTTGTGTGTGTGTTTAAAATACTGAGTTTTGACTAGGTCCTGATACCCTCCCATTTGATCTGACTTAGTGAGTCATTACTATACAACCAGGAAGCACATTTACTTAAAGATAGATTGGCACCTGGGAAAGATTCCTCCCACGCCCCAGCCCCCTCCCCAGACAATGGGTGTCTGACCTTGCTGTTGTCATAAATAGATTTATGATCAGCAACAGCCAACGGAGGGTCATGGGTCAGATGAGAAAGTTGAGACTTGGAACGTTGCCGGATGGAGGCTCTGGAAAACAAACAAACAAACAAACAAATAAATAAAAAAAACGGTAAGACAAGATGGGCTATAGATGGCAAGCAGGTTGTAACCGGACTGAACAGGTGTCCTGGTTTACATCCCACATTGCATCAATAGGGCAAGGAGCGTCTACATAAGGTTTGATGAAGTTTATCTTCGGTCAGAGTAAAGTGGGTAGATTTCTCTCAGCCCAAGCTCTGTCGCTACTCGATCCAGATTCGGGGTATACCAGGGAGGGAAAGGGTGAAGGGAGAAAAGCTTCCCATCGACCTACTGAAAACTGCCCAAGACCCAAATGTATCCGGAGTCCAGATGGTTCTTTCAGCTGCTACCACGGCAAAGGTGATGGTTTAGCGCTTGTATTTCTTTCTGGTTTGGGGTTTCATTTCTATTGTCCTTGTACAGTCTCTGCTTGTCTCTGTCTCTATGTCTCCCTGTGTCTCTATTTCTCTTCCTATTCTCCCTCTCCCACCTCTTCCTCATTCTCGCCCTCTTCCTGTCCTTCTCCCCTTCAGGATGAGGCCACCTGGATACATGTGTGATAAACACAGGGTCCCCAGTGAGACTATCTCTAGGTTTTCTCGGTCACACGGCAACCAGGCCAAAGAGCTTCCAAGTTAGGTTTGAAGTGTATTTCGACTGCCCATGGAAAGGAATCAACAAAAACTTATCGAAATATAATTTAGCTTAGTGCATTTGTTCATTCATCTGCAATCCACTGGGTCCCTACAACATGTCAAAATCCAAGGGAGCACAAAGACTAGCCAAACCACAGACATCTTTCTCAAGGAGTTTAAATCCCAGAGAATAACACATGTAATCAACACCAGTGTAAGGAAAAAAATCGGGTGGACGCTGTGCAGAAATTTTGAGTAGTTTTCTTTTTTTCTTCTGTGTGTGTGTGTGTATTTTCAAGACATGGTTTCTCTGTGTAGTCTTAGCTGTCCTCAAACTCACTCTGTAGACCAGGCTGGCCTGAACTCGCAGAGATCCACCTGCCTTTGTTCTCTCTAGTGCTGGGATTAAAGGTGGAAGCCACCACCACCCATTTTTTTTTTTTTTTGAAAATAGAGAGGTAAAAAAATTATACATAACATAAAGCTGGTTTTGTTTTTTATTTTTTCCTGAGACAGGTTCTTTATGTAACCTTGGATGTCCTGCATCTAATGCTGTAGACCAGGCTGGCCTCGAACTCAGAGTTAACTTCAGCTTCTTTCTTGCCACCATGACTGCCACATGTTCCCACGCCTCCCCACCATGATGAACTCTTACCCTCTGGAACAATAAGACAAAATAAACTCTCTTCTTTTTTTAAATATTAAACAAAAAGAAATTTTGAGTAGTTAAATTTGTGTTTTGAAGACTTAATTTGAAGTAATACAGTGTAAGGGGAGAGATGATCGAGGTGAGGGGACCATGCCTCTTGTTCCAACTCCAGATGGAATAATTTACCTGTCCTCTATTATTTGTATTCAGGTGAAAGTAGACTGAAACAAATGCCAAGATGGTACCTGCCACTATCTGCTTATCCAGGCTTCCCAAGAAATCAGTAACATGCCAGCTTCATTACGCTAATCTCTTCCCACCCTGTGTGAATGGCCTCCCTCTTAGTCACCCAGGTTCAACACTATCCATTTCCCAGAAGTCTCCTCTTCTTTAATCCTGCACATTCAAACTCTGGCCGAGCCTCATTATGATCAAGAAGAAAATCATTCTTGAAACCTGATTCACTGTCCTCAGTCTAATCTCTGGGGTGTTGAACTTACTCTGACTCGGAGTGATATGGAGAGGAGACATACAGAGTTACTACTCTGGGTTAGGCAACTCATGCTGGGACATCTCCAGACTATGAAGTAGGCTGTGTCACCTGGAGATCACAGGGTGAGCGTAGGGGCATCATGGGACGTATGATATGAGTGAGACTCAAAGCCATGGGTCTAATCAAACTCACAGCAGTTGACAATGTCAATATTAATTGTTTAGTACCAAGATCCAGATGTAGGAAGACCTGCCTGTGAGTTCTTAAATCTCCCTCTCCCCTATTCCTTAAACCCTTCCACCTCTCTAGCAGAGACTGTGATGAGACCATGAGCAGAAAGTACAGGGTAAGGGCTCTGCCTGCCAGCTGGTGCTCAATGTGCTTTATCTGAAACAGGGCGGTAAGATTCCACCACGCCCCTTTTCAGAAATTGTGCAACACTCCTCCTTAAGAAACCCCCACTTTGTCAAAAGTTGTATGCTGCTTTTCACTGCAAATAAAAACAGCTAATTTGGGGAGATGAATGCTCTTTCTCTCTTTTCTCAACATTGTTATTTAGGAAATTATTTTCCGTTGCCAATTAACTTGTTTTTGAACCTAAAATATATTGTTGAAGAAAGGCTCAGCTCTCAGACAGACCGTAGCCCAAGAAACAAGATACAAATTAACATTTCATCTAGTCATCTTCTAGAAGAAAATCTTGTCACCCCTTACAATGAGATTTTTTAATAGAACTCCTTATTCAAAGTTATAAATCTTTCTCTGCAGGAGGTTAATAGCTACTTTTTGTATGTAGTTTGCCTTTCTGGATTTTTTAATCCTAGTCATTAAAATGTAGAATTTGTGGGCAATGTAGCAAAATAAGAGACACTTATGTGAAAATGGGTATCTGTTTTTCATCATAAATTTCTTCCAATGGACAGAATTTTGTTCTTAAGAATAAACAAAACATTGACTTTCCTGTTTGCAGGACCACAAGATACATGCCATTTTAACCTGATGGTTGAGCGAGGTGCCCAGTCATTATTGTGTTCAAGAAAGCAGTTGCTCTCTTCAAGTTGTGATTCTCGTATTTTACTTATGATTAAACATAGTGGCATGATCAAACACAGTGCCACATGTCTATAATATTACCTAACAATTCTGGTAATATCTACATCTTCTACTATATAGAATTCAAAGATAATGCTTTGTTTTCCAGCTCAATAAAGTTAACACTTCTTTAAACTTTTTTCTTTTTCTTCAGTAGATTTGTTCTAAAGAAGAAGAAAAAAAACAAGTCTGAGAATTTAGATCTATAAAGAATAGATACATTATCTTTCCATATTTGAAAAATATGAAAAAAATCTATCCATATTTGAAATAGGTACAAATACTTTTTAACAAACTATTCCTTAGAAACGAACAATAAATAAAATCATTTTGACTACTTGAGGCTTTTATCAGACTGTTCTATTTTAAGCAGCTTTAACTCCTTCTCAGTAAACAAGTAGCCATCTTGAATGAGCAAGTCCTATACTGATTCTGAGCACAGTCTTTCATATCTTGGAAATGGTGAGGCCAATGGCAGTGAGATGCATCAGCCATAACTTACTGCAGTTTTTTGACAAAAGGGTACACTGTTTTAACAATGTTTTCACGAACACAGATAGATATTTCTAGACAGAATTCTTAATACGTAACTTTTAATGCTAGAAAATTTTAAAATAAAATTCTTAAACCAACATACAAATGATGATTCACAATCTCACTGACAGCACACTCCAAAGTATGTTTTGAAAGTTAATAGTTGCATATGAAAACACAGGAAAATAAATATCTCAGTTGGGGACACCCTCTTTAAAAGCTAAAACATGGATTTTATTCCATCCAGTTAAAGAATGATTTGAGTTCAAATGTGTTACGCTGAGAGTGGAAGTGTTAGTAATTCAATTGCTTCTCACTCAGGATAAAGAACAGAGTTAAATTGGTGAAGATTGCCTTCAAATAAGAGTGTTTCAAACAGTGGTTGAACTTTGTGGGGAAAGACTGGGTATCTGGTAGTTTATTTGTTTGTAATTGTTTATATGTTTTCTCCTGAAATAAGGTCTCATAATGTAGTCCAACCTAGCCTTGAACTTGTGATGTTCCTGTCTCATCTTCCCAAGTATATGGATATCAGTACCATGTTACCCTAGTTGTTTTAAAAATCCCCCTTCTAGGGGTCAGAGAGGTAGCTCAATGAGTAAGAGCACTCACTGCTCTCCAGGTTTCGATTCCCAGCATCCATATGATTGGTGGTTTACAATCATCTCTAACTCCAGACCCAGGGAGTGCAATTTCCTCTCCTGACCTCTGTAGGCACCAGGCACATACATGGTGGACAAAAATACATACAGGCAAAACACTCATCCACATAAAATTAACATTAAAACAAATAATAAAATATCTATTCTAAGCGCAATAAACATTTTAACCAGACAGTCCTCTATCATGGCCCTCCTCTCAACAGATGAAATGACAAGGTTAAACAAACTGACATACTCTTACATCACAAGACCTGGAGTCTGCAAAGGGTTTCCTTTTTAAACCTGAGATATTGCCGAAGGACCACAACTGTAAAAAGCTCCCGTGGCTTGGGCTTACCTTAAGCTCTCCCGATAGCTCCCTCTGATGAAAGTCCTCTCGAGTGTACCACCTTCAGTTGCATCTTTTTCTGTTTAACAAAACATGAACCATTCCTTAGCGCACACGATAAGCAGGGCTATATTTATATAGATTACTCTTAGCAGGGCTGTATTTACATAGATTACTCTACTGTTTGCCTAGAAGGTAACTACTGCATGGAATATCCAAACATTCTATTAACCTATTGCAATAAATAAATCTTGAAATTTGTCCAGCACCACAAAAAAAAATTCAAAGTACTTAGTAAGATTGACTTGTGTGAAATGTGTGCTGGCTGGTTATAATCTCTATAGACGTGAGTATCTTTTAGAATGAATTTTTAAAAAATTAGTGAAAACTCACTAAAGTTGGCGAAACAAAGAAACAAACAAAAAACATTGATCCAACCAGCAAACATTCAAAGCTTACAGATTTCATGGATGTTAAGCATGTGCAATAGTTATACACTATGTTATTCATGAGCCTACATGGGAGACGGTAGAGAAGGTCAAGAGTGGCTGATGAATTAGCTCAGGATAACCACTAGGTCTGCAAGTTCCAGACTGAGGAAGAGAAGGCATGGTAGGGCCTGGAGTGTCAATCTCCTTTTGGAAATAAGTGTAAAATATTTAGTTATTGTTTAAGTCACATAATAATAATGAGAACCGCCCCCATATGTCTGACACATCCAGAAAGCCTGTCCTACAGGAAAATGGTAGAGTTGAAAAGCGAGGACCGTGGGTTCTGCCCGGTGACTTGATAACTTAACCTTCCGTGTTTTATTTACCTCCCCTCTCAACTGAGTAATGACGGATGGGCGTTGGGAGAATATGCAGTACATATTCACAAGTGTATGGGTTCATTCAATACCATAGATGCTAGTTATTTAGTAGAAGGCCAAAGGGAAAAGGTACTTACCCTTTACATCCTTTCCTTTGTGGGGTTCATCTCCTTGGCTTTGCAGGGTCACGAGCATGAAGTAGACACCTTTCCTCTCTAACAGTTCTTCATGGGTGCCTCTTTCCACGGCTGCTCCGTGTTCCATACCGATGATCACGTCTGCAGCTCTGACTGTTGACAGGCGATGGGCAACTGAGACGATTGTGTGTTCATGTTGAATCTGGACAGAAGACAGGGTGTACCCTTAAACAGGACAGAACCAACACCAAGCTTCACACCATCCCTGAGTCTACAAGGAAGTCAGCTGTGGATCCTAGGAACATCCTAAACAGGCTGTGCGTATGTCCGAAGTAGCCAACTGTTTCTTATAGCCATAAGTCTCATCACAGATCGACCTGACAGCAATTAATCAATAGCTTAATAGCTTGGGGAGGGGTGGTTAAACCATGTCACAGTTCATTTGAGTTTTAATTTTATATTGTATCTTTGGGGAATAAATTACAACTATGTTCTGTTCAACTCGAAAGAGATGGCATCTGACCAATATTTTATAAAATTTCAGACTGGATGTACTGACCTATTGGTATCATCCCCTCCTTGAGGGGCCTGAGAAATAAACTGACTCTCCACAAACCTTATTCAGTGCTTCTTGTACTCTGGCTTCACTCTCATTGTCCAGCGCTGAGGTGGCCATGTCCAAAAGCAGGATCTTGGGATTCCGGATGAGAGCCCGAGCGATGGCCACCCTTTGTTTCTGCCCACCACTCATATGGCCTCCTCCTTCTCCAACAAGGGTGTCAAATTGCTAGGAATCATGAGGGAGAAGAACTGATGGCTCCTGACAGCGATCCAGTACCCCTTCTAACTTTTTTCCTCAGGTGTGAATTTTTACAGGTCCAACTTTTACTGAAAGAAATATCCTTTCCAAAATGAATTAACCAAGCACTCTTTGCATGTGAGAGAGTTAATGCATTGAACTGTGAGCATGTTCCTTTTTAGTTCACGTTCAAATAAAAAATTTTCAACCAAAATGAAAATTAACCAGCCTTGTAAATCCATCATAGAGGACTAAGTCACATTTTCACAATCCTGGCACCTTTCTTACTGCTGAACAGTACAGCAAAACACAATGCTTAAGCCGTCTTTATATTGTGAATGGGAGATCAAACTAGTTTCACACATCTTGCTGGGACCTTAAGTCCTGACTGAGTATCCTACAGGATTAAGTCCACACTGAAATTTAGCAGTGGAGCGTTAGACGTCAGAGTCTTGACTTTCTTGGTATCGGTCCATAAGAGCTGAGTTCCCTACCACAGACAAAACATGGTGCTGAAATTCTACAGATACTGTCTCGTGTGGTCCTCACAAAACCCCAGGAGGCAAGTACTGCTATTTGTCTTAATGGTTGAACAAAGAAATTCTGAGCACAAAGGGTTAAACTAACTTGGCAAGAAGCTCATAAAGCTAGAAGGTGGAGAATTTGAGGCAGTGTAATTCTAAAGTTTTATTCACATTAGCTATTAGGCCATAGCATTCTCATAGCAACAATGCTACTTAAAAAGGTGATTTAGCAGGTGTGGTAATTTGAATGAAAATGGCCCCATAGGCTCATAGGGAGTAGCATTATTTGAAAGGTTTGAGAGTGTGGCCTTAATGGAGTACGTGCGGCCTTTTTGAACGAAGTGTGTTACTGGGGGGTGGGTTTTTGAGATTTCAGAAGCTCAAGTCAGGTCCAGAGGCTCTCTCTCTTCCTTCTACCTGTGGATCCACATATTGAACTCTCAACTACCAGTATTATGTCTGCCTGTATGTCACCATGCTCTTTGTCATATCTATAATGGACTAAACCTCTGAACTGTAAGCCAGCCCCACTTGAATGTTTTTCTTCATATGGGTTGCTGTAGCCACGATGTCTCTTCACTGCAATAATACCCTAGGGAACTCAGAGGGTGACGGTGATCTATCCAAGGTCAGTGACGCTGGAGCTGGACCACCTGCTGTGACTTCCTTGCTTACAGATATATAATTCGGGGCAGTTACTGACCTCACAGAACATCGTTATTCATCTGCAGACGGACATAATAGTAGTTGCTACATGGCAAGGTGTAAGGGTTAAGAGCTAGGAGATGTGACGTGTTAGAGCAAAGCTTGGTATACTATCAGTAATTGTCCTGTGACTTAGCGAACCACCAAGGAATATACAGTAGATATAATATAGAGCCAGTTTTTGTAGACATGGCGATCACACAGAATGGAGATGTACCGGTGAACTCTTGAATTTGTGAGGCTCAGGTTTAAGAGCACAATAGTCAAGCTGTGTAAGTACAAGAAAACGGAAGCGTAAGAACAGCGGTAGGTTATGATTTATATCATCAATGTATCTGCAGTGTTCCTTGCCAACTAGATGGGATTTGAAACCACCTAGGAGACACACCTCTGTGTAGATTTTGAGGGTATTTCCAAAAATGGTAGTCAGCAAAGAGGAGACCCAGCCTGAATACAGATGACCACTCTCCCACGGACTGGGATTGAAAAGGGAAAGAGAAAGCTGGCTCAGTGCCAGCATCCATCTCTCTCGGCTCCCTGCCCACAAACATGTGTGACCAGCTGGGACATATGTGCTCATGCTTCCACACCATCCCTGCCATGTTAGACCGTGTCCTCAAACTGTTAGAAAAATCCTTCCTTTCTGAAGCTGCTTCTTATCAAGTAGTTGGTACCACCTTGTGGCATTATTGGGAGCCAGTAGAACCTTTTAGGGGTGACTGTGGAAGGAAGTTGTTCCACTGAGCAGGTGGGGCCTATACCCTTGAAAGAGACATCAGGACTCTGGTCTCTCCTCCTCCTCCTCCTCCTCCTCCTCCTCCTCCTCCTCCTCCTCCTCCTCCTCCTCCTCCTCCTCCCTCTCTCTCTCTCTCTCTCTCTCTCTCTCTCTCTCTCTCTCTCTCTCTCTCTCTCTCTCTCTCTCTCTCTCTCCTTCTCCTCCCTTGGCTTCCTGGCTTCTGAGAGGTGAGCTGTTATGCTTGTTACATACTCCCCACAGTTATGCTCCTCTTGCCACAAGCAAAGGAAACTGCTGACCTTTGACTGAAACCATATGCCCAAATAGATCTTCTTCCTTATAACTGGCTTTATCTTGGGTATTTTGTCACAGTAACTGGAAGGTGACTAACAAGCAAGAAAACATTTCTCGAGCATTGCTTCATGTCAAATATTGCAATGTTTCCAATACTTGCTTAATAGGTAGACCAAGAAATTCTACCTACATCAAATGGGTGTTTTTGAAAGAGAGCTCGCCAGTTTGGAAGATGGCAACTATACAAATGACATATTTTTACATGAAAGGGAAAACATGGTCCATTTCCAGATGTAAATCTAGAGCCTGCTATTGAGAATTTAAGGACTGAGGATTCAAATGAAAAAGACATATTCTTCCTTTATGACGTCTGCGTTCCCCTGGACTATAAGGAGGGTACCTGTGGCAGGGCCATGATGAAGTTGTAAGCATTTGCCTCCTTAGCAGCTTGGATTATGTCTTCCATCGTTGCTTCCTCTCTGCCATAACGGATATTTTCTGCGATAGTGGTAGAGAACAGAATGGGCTCCTGTTCTACCACCCCAATCTGGTCCCTCAGCCACCGGGTGTTCAGAGAGCGAATGTCGTGGCCGTCCAGAGTCACCTAGAGAACAGAAGAGTGTCACACAGCTTGGAGTCCCTCAAGCTTCTGAATCATAACGTTAGGTGATACTTAGCCACTGGGGAGAATAAGCAGAGAATAACAAGACAGTAACAGAAACAATTCCCATGGAAACGTTGCTATTTATATAAGGATATCATTGAAATAAAAAATTCATTGTCAAAACACGGGTGATGTAAAACCCACTTAAGTTCTCATTGGTAGCCTCAGAAATGGCACATTTTGAATTCCTCTGAAGAGTAGCCAGTTGCTCACCATACTCTCTGCGTACGTTTATTGTCTTTTGGCTCATGACCAAAAGGGGACTTCAAAAGATACAATAAAAGTAAACAATAGCTCCTATCTTGTAGGTGTGTGCTATATAGGATATCTTGCTGCCTAATCTGATTCATCAAAAAACACTTTGCTGCTCAAAGAAGTTGAAACTGTAAATGTGAAAGACAAAAGAAGCACGATAGGTAAATGTAAAACGAGGTTAAATCCAAAGAATCCATTTGACAACGTCACTATTTGCATTCGCTCGCTCCGACTTGTTGAGAAGTTTCTGGGAGACACACACCATGCCTTCGCAGGGGTCGTAGAACCTCTGAATGAGCTGTAGGGCTGTGCTCTTCCCAGAGCCACTGGATCCCACCAGAGCTGTCATTTCCCCGGGCTTAATGACCATGTTGAGGTTATTTAAAATCTAGAGAAGATAGAACATCTTTAAGTTCATGTCACTGGGCACTTAACTAAGCACTTAGACCATACATAGGATGCTTTGTGAGGATTTGTATATTGTATCCATACCCCCGGCACGTGTGTCAATGTGTGTGGGTGTGTCTGTGCTTACTTATGTGCCATGGTACTACCCATGTCTACCCATCAATTAACAACAAAAGAAGACCGTCTGGAAAAAAGGTTTATCATTAGCACATTGCTTAATAACTGTGGCCAACAATAAAATGATAACGTATTAACACTGGTAAATAAGCAAGGGTCACCTTTAAAATTAGGCCTCGAAATCTAATCTAAAACACAGCTGCCATACCAGGATACCTCAAGGAGTCAATGTCAATCAGTTAAATAAGAAGCTCCTGTAATTCACAAGCGTAATGATAATTCATAGACCAAGAATCAGAAACAAACCAATTTGCAGATGATATGCTTGAATGGTATGAGGCTATTACTTGAATAACTTTGCCTAATAAATGTGCGTGCTGTGTTTCTAGGTCTAAACCTCTCTGAAGGACAAGGACTAAAGGTGGGAATTAGGATTCGGTTCTGTGAGTATAACAGATATGTTATTAATAAGAGGAAACCAGAGATGCCGCGTTCGGAATGAAAACAAAGCATCATTTCAAAGCCGGTTCATTCAAGAGGGCAGATGGTTGCTTCCTGTAGGGTGGGGTTCCCTCTAACAACCTTGCTCTGGAGGTTCTGGAAAACAGTCTAATTCCCTGACTATGTGCCCAGGTCAATCACTAAGCCCAAGGTTTGTGGGAGCAACAGCTCCAGGTGACCTTCCTCTAAGGACTAACGCAGCCAGAGGCCAGGGGAACCTACAGACGGTAGAGCTACTTCCAGCTGCTCGTTCCTCCAGGCGTACTTCCTTCATTAGGCTCCACCTCCCGTGATCTCCAAGGAGGTGGTGACTGGAAAATGTACTACTTGAATGACAGGATCTGCCCCTCCTTTCAGCAGAGGATCACTCGGCTGACTTAGTCTGAGTCTGGCACTAGACCCGTGTTCCAACCAGAAGGATTTGCACAATGCCGTCATCACTTAAAAATGCAGTGTGCCCCTAAGCTGGCATAATACACAGGGACACTTCCAGAGAAACACGTCTCTGTCCTCTGATCCTGGAAACTGAGTCAGCCCTAAGAAAGCAGCGTGCAGCTCTGGGAATGAATTATATAATAATAATAATAATAATAATAATAATAATAATAATAATAATAATAAAAACATCAGGCAAAATGTGAACACTCACCTTCACATCTGGTCTAGAAGGATACCGGAAGGTCACATTATGGAATTCAATTTCCCCCTTGATTCGATCCAGCTTGTATCCATCTTCTGACATGCAGTCAATGACTGGTTGCTGAAGTACAATACAAAGATACAGTGATAATGCGTGCCGCATCTATTTTGTGTCTTAGTAAATTCGTGAACTCACAAAGTAACACTGGGACTGGAGACACGGCTCAGTGCTCAAGAGCTCTCGTCGGCAAAGGCCCTGATTCAGTTGCCAGCACTCTCACAGTAGGTAGCTCACAATGACCTAGAACTCCTTTTCCAGAGGATCTGATGTTCTCCTTGGATTTCCACAGGCACCAAGCATGCATGCGCTGCGCATACATACATGCAGGCAAAATACACAGAAAAATAAGATGAATAAATCCAATATTTTTTTTTTAAAAAAGCAGAATTTTGTTTGGGCAAAATATTGCAGAGATATGTTAAAGATAAGTTACTTCCATATTTCATATTTATGAAAGTGATGTTGATACTCATCACTGTTGAGATTGCTGGCTTATTATATCACTAGATATTATTGTTGAATGTGACCTTGATAGAATGGTAGTTTTATTTATTATTACTTGTTGAATTAGTACTTTAAGATTATATATTATTAATATTATATAATATGATGAGAAATTGTTTATCAATAGATCATACAGTTAGCATTTAATGTAGTGTGTTATATCACACACGTTTATATCACTGAGATGACAGGAGGCAAAGGTGTTTTAATATAGCATTTGCATTTACGTTGTTATGTCCTTGTTAGACAGGGAGGAACCTCTGAGAGTATCTCTTGCCCAGGGAAATATAACCAGTCAGCTGGGTTGGGGCTAGTGGCACTCTGCATTTGGTAGCCAAGGTAGGTAAGGAGTAAAATTAGGCGCCCACAAAATGTTCTCAAATGTCACCAACTTCCGACTGTACCCTGAACTCACTCTTCTGCTACAGCGGCACCGATTTAAAACAGCCATTCTGGCTGACCAGAAAAGGAAGAGGGCCATCTCTTCCTCTTCTGGAACACTCCGGGTTCAATTATTTCTGTCTTCCACACTAGTAATAAGAATTCATGCCCAAAGCCGTATTCTATTTTTTTCCTTAAGAGTCTAATAAGGATAATAAAATTTAAATGCCATAATTTTCAGCTATTTTCACAGGGACCCTTGACAGTCATCACTCCATTTGAAACTATGGCTGCCCTAAGAAGTTAGCATTAGAAAAGGTCAAAGGTCTAGAAAGAGGAGCTCAATGGTTACAAGGCACGCTGCTCATCCTAGTACATAAGTTCAGGACCCCGCTCCTGCAGAGGGAGGCTCACAGCCAATTTTAATTCCATCCCCAAGGAGTCTAACATCTCTGACCTTCACAGGCAGTTGCCTTCACTCCACAGACAGGCAGACAGATACACAGACACTATTAAAAATAACAAAATAAATCTTTCCTCCCGTTCTTAGTCAGTAGCTACCTGACTGATTTTCAATCTACTTCCTTAAGTTAATCAGCAAAATCCTCCCAGGCCTACCAAAGTCCTTTAAAAACCTGAAGAGATTCCCTGCCAGCAGAAAATCTAGGCTCTCAAACCTGATCTTCAGGCCTTTCCCACCCATTCCTCCCGCCTTCGCCCTGGATTGCTTTGCTCGTACACACACACACACACACACACACACACACACACACACACACACACACACACTTTCTTAACTCCTTCAGATCAACCAGTCTCTTCCTAACCTGGAAGTTTCTCAACCAGGAATTCTTTCCTTGCTCTTACTTCCCAAGAACCCCATTTAAAGATCCCTCCCACTAGCCAGCCAAAACACTTAGTCCTATTTTATCTCTTTTATTAGGTCTAGTATTCTCTGATGTTATCTTTAAATGTTTATTTCTTGCCCAGTGTGGTGGCTCACACCTTTAATCCCAGCACATACAAGACTGAGGCAGGTGGATTTTAGGGCCGGGTGTTCCGTAGCGAGCACCAGACCACAGACAGGACGACGTGGGAAGACCCTGTCTCAAACAGACGTGATTCCTTTGCAGGTATCTTCCAGCATGAGTATGTGAGCAGAAACGCAATTGGTTCTACCTCGCAGCTCTTAGAATCTGCGCAGCCCATACCCCACTCCCCATTTCCTTTGGCTTTTACGCACCCTGTCTATTGTTTGGAAGATACTGGAAGCTGCTGACCGCCCAGTGGCAAAGACTTCCAGGGAAGAAGACGCGTGGCCGAAGTTCATAGCTGCTACTATGACACAGAGGAAAATCTGAAATGCAAAGAAAAACATAGTTTTCATACATTTTTGCTAGTTTGTGAACAATGCTGTTTATCATTTGGAGCATCCTCGTGAATTCTTGAGATTTCTCAGAAATATTTAAAGTTAAGCAGTTTACAGGCCTTTCAGAAATATATAGAATATTTTTTTTACTTTGTAAAGTGTTTCTCCATAGTTATTCTTTAAAATACATTCTTTTAAAGCTGAGCATCCCTTTCCTGCAGAGTAGAAAACCTGAGGGAATGGCACAAACAGGCTGATAAGAATAGTTTTTAATCTAAACTGTTTTAAGACCACCCTCTCCAGAAACCTCCCACCTCAGCAAAGGAAGCCTTCTTGCATTCTAGATCCAGGGCCGGCAAACACATTCTGTAAAAGTCCCCTAGTAAATAGCTCAGGTTCTAAAGGCCATATGGGTTTAGAACCATGTACACACATGCCATATAGTACAAAAGCAAGCTTAGCAATGCATAAATAAATGGCCATGGACATATCCCAATAAATTGTATTTATAAAAAATTAATAGAGACTGTATTTGGTGCAATGACTATTTTACTGAGTCATTGGAGTCTTCGATTGAAGACTAGAGGACAAACCCGTGCTTAGCCTGACATTATAAGCTGTTGCCTCAAACAATTTTCTTCATGGAGCTTCTCAGAGAAGCCTATGAGTAAGAGAAGACAGATGCATGCCCAATAAGATTGTAGAGGGCACACACACATCCCAGGCAGAAGTTTTCTTTCGAAACATCATGGCTGTAGCCGTGCGTATAGGAAGGTAAGAAGAGAAGAATATAGGGAGCAGGCAATGCATGGGGCACCCTTCCAGGGAATTGGGCTCCGTGTCCCTTACAACATAGATATGGAGGGAGAAAAACTGGCTTCAAGGCCAGGCCTGCAGTCACTGAGACCAGAGCTCAAGTCATATTCTTTGTCACTTGGCACATAGTCTTAACCTCACGGTCACCTTTCATTTCTGTAGTGGTAGAATCATGATGATGCCAATCACAGAATGAAGTTGTGCGTGTGATTTATGATAATTACATCAAACACCTCATTCAGTGCCTGTTGCCTTTTATTCACTGAGTGAATATTACTTTCTATTCCTACTATTATTCTTTTTTATTGAACCCTGAAACCTAAAAAAAAAAAACCCTCATTCAGTTCTTCATCTTTCCCTAATAGACCAGAGAGCGTGTCTTTGTCTGTACATAAGTAATACTAATTACAGTAATCTATGGGAGCTGCTTCTCATTTACACCCAAGAAAGCCATAATAGTTTTATGCACCACAAAAATGTGCTAAATTAATCTGATTGTTAATTAGTTTAGTGGGTTAAAACATTTAACTCAACTCAAGAGTACTCAACTTTTGTTTTGCTGTGGAAAAGTATAGCCAAGAATTAACTCTGTCTTTTTCTCTCTCTCTGACACACACACACACACACACAAACACACACACAAACACACACACATACACAGAGAGAGAGAGAGAGAGAGATTAAAGAAAGTCTTTTGGTTTTTGTTTTTTTACAAAGAAGCACTTATTAAGGCAAGGTGTAAGCAGAGGAAGAAGTTGAGCGAGGAAGATAATAACTGATGATAAAAATGTTGGCAACACACACTATCCTATGTCTATACAAAGTAAGTTTTTAAAAACTATCTGCTGAAGTGGTTGAATTGCCGGGAAACTTAAAGATGAGAATCATAAAACTAGAAACTAGCTGTTGTGGTAGTTGAATGAGAATGGCCCCAGGGGCTCCTTTTTTTTTTTTTTGTATCTTTGCTCCCCAGCAGGTGGAACTGTTTGGGAAGGATTAGGAGGTGTGGCCTTGTTGGAGGAGGCGTGTCACTGGGAGTAGGCTTTGAGGTTTCAAAAGTCCATGCTATTTCCCAGTTATCTCCCCTGCCCCATGCTTGCAGAACAAGATGTAAGCTCTCAACCAGGTGGTGGCAGATGCCTTGAATCCCAGCACTCGGGAGGCAGGCAGAGGTAGGTGGATCTCTGTGAGTTCGAGGCCAGCCTGGCCTACAGAGTGAGTTCCAGGATGGCCAGAGCTACACACAGAGAATCCCTCACTCTCAGCCACCACTCTACACTCTAGTGCCATGCCTGCCTGCCTGCGGCCATGTTCCCCATCGTGACAGTCGTGAACTCAATCTCTGAAACTGAAATCCCCCAGTAAACTTTTTCTTCTACAAGTTGCCTTAGTCATGGTGCCTCTTCACAGAAACTGAAAAGTCACTAGGACAGTTACCACGGTGCTTCTGTTTGTTCTCCTGTGGTATAAGCACCATGGCCAAAAGCAATCTGGGCAGGAAAGGGTTTATTTGACTTACAAGTCAGCATCTATTATTGTGGGGAGCCAAGGCAGGAATCTGAAGACAGCAACTGAAACAGAGACCACAGAGGAACTGCTCCCTGACTTGTTCCCTATGACTTACTTAGTTTGCCTTCTTCTACCACCTGCGTGGGGATGGCACCACCCACAGTAATTTGGACCCTCAGACACCAATCAGCAATCAAAGACACGAGACAAAACCATGCCCTACACACATGCCCACAGGCCAACCTGATGAATGCCATCTCTCCATCGAGGCAGTTTTCCAGGTGTGAAAAGCTGACAATTGAAGCTAAGATAGGAGGAACGTTTTACTCAGAGCTTTCAGGTGAGTTTGTGGATGTTTAGTTTTCAGTTTACTAATTCATTTCTCCTTTGAACGTTCATTCCTGAATTCCTCTCTTTTCATAGACATAGAATCAAAGAACAACTTTACTCAAGGAGTGTGTTTCTGCAAACTGAACAGCCAGCGCTGAATTTGGCTATTCGTACCTTCGAAATGATTTTTAATTACATTTATTTATCTGTTCATTGGGGCTGCATGTGTGCCACAGTGCAGGGGTGGAGGTCAGAGGATGCCTTGCCTGAGTCAGTTTGCTTTCATGGGGGTTTACCATCCCTTCGGGATCGAACTCATATCGCCATGCTTAGCAGAAAGAGCCTTCACCCACTGAGCCGTCCCACCAGCCCAAATGCCAAAGCTTTCAGAAGCAGGTGGATCAATAAGGGGAGGGAACTTTAGAGTCAGATTTCAGACCTACGATACTTTAAACTTTTCACTGTGCAAAAGTAGATCTAATTTGCAGGGAGAAATGCAAATTATGATAATACCACTTTTCATACCATCTTTCAAAATTGACGTAACACTTGAACACGTGTTATCAGACTCAATATTTTTAAACAAAGTTCAAAGCTATGCCTGCTGTCCGTTTTCCAAACACAAAAATAATTTTAAAACATTCTACTGCTCCATTATTGCTCAGAATGACTGACATTGGACGTTCATCCCCATGGCCAATGCAAATGCTCCTCAGTTTCCCCTAGGGATGTTTGTAATAAACAGTATGCTTTGAATGATAAATTTTCATGTAGTGAGCTCCTGGTACTTTCCATTGTTCAACTGGGGCCTGTTCCATCCAGAATCCGTAGCCAAGACACTCTATTTAAAAATCTTCCGTGAGGCTATTTCCATCACCACAGCAATGCAAGCCCCGTCCCCACCACGGACCTCATAGACCTTACTCTCTGAGGACAGAAAGGGGTAAGGATAAATGCAAACAGATGCAAAAGTTTCCCAAGACACAAGTGCCCCGAAGGAGAACAGAGGCTGTAAAGAGAACTCAAGAATAGATGAGTGTGCAAGCCTAGATGAGTGTGCAAGCCTAGATGGGTGTGCAAGCTTAGATGAGTGTGCAAGGCCTGGCTGGGAAAGTGCAAGCTGTCACCTTCAGAGGTGACTAACTGAGAGGACACTGTGCATGAACGCAGCTCTAACATTTGTGAAGGCATGACATTCCACAAACGAGTGATGAAGTATGCCTGTATAACTTACTCAGTTGAAGATGTTCCTGACTTGATGTGTTAATAATCACAAACATAATATTTAGGCACATATCTTGTACTATTACTAACTTCAGTTTTATGACCTGTTTACTTTTAGCTGAGAGGTCAATGATTTTCCATTTCTATGGTATATGGTCTTTGGGGACCAGCTGGAGGACCACCGCTGCACAGCTGCAAAATCTCTGGTTATGGAAATCATGAAATTGTTGCTCATCACCCCACATGTCCAGCTTTCTTCACTAAAGTGTCTTAATACTGTTAGTCCCGCAGATGGACTTCAGCAAACCCCCGAAGCTTTCCTGCCTTGGACTTTAAAGCAATAAACCTTATGGATACTATGGAGACTTTTAAGATAAACTAGCAGGGAATACCTTATATAGAAAACAAGACCAAAGTACCTGGACCAGTGTCCCTGGTGTATACTCTTCTTCATCCAGGACTAGTGAGGAGCCGTACCAGAAGGCCAGCGCGTAACAAAGGAAAATGAGGCACCACATGTACCCCGTAAAGAACCCCATCACCATTCCTTTTCTAATTCCCCAGCGCTGGGCGTACACAAGATTTTTCTCATACCTGTAAACAGTAAAGGTTTGAGTCAATGTCTTCTGGAGCAGCTCAGGGTACAACACTTAAGGTAGGTCATGATGCAGAATTTTATGAAGTGATTATGGTCACCACCAAACAAAGCTACTTAAGTCTGTCACAACTTGGATGAGGCACAGTGGGATAGACTTGACCCCAAGAGAAAACAATGTTTTAACAAATATCTTTGCTTGGGATTTATTACTATTTACATTTAAAGTATTTCTTTGGAATATATATTAGGTTTCTATCAGAAAATAGGCAATTATCTCCAAATCAACAGCTTAGGCTAGTTACATGGTGAGTTCCAGACCAACCAGGACTACATAGGGAGACTGAGTCTCAAAAAACAAACAAATTAAAAAGCTCAAAATATATTAACTAAATTACAAAAATAAATAAGATCTTTTTTATTATTTTTTTTTCTTTTTCCACGACAGGGTTTCACAGTATAGCCCTGGCTGCCCTGGAACATTCTATGTAGACCAGGCTGGCCTCAAACTCAGAGACCTATGTGCCTCTGTCTGCTGAGAGCTGGGAATAAAGGTATGTGCCACCACCACCCAGCTATACAATCATATTTTTGACAACTACATCTATTTTTGCAAATTAAGTTTTAAGTCTCATTAAAAATTAGTCTCTGGAATGATTTGTCATAATTCATCAGGGCTAATTTTTGTTTGGTTGAATACAAAATTATAGAAGTTATTAAATGCATTTAACAGCACAGTAGCTTCACAAAACATGTTCAATTAAAAAGAAAGGTTATGAGTCTGTCCAGATGTCTCCAGCCCAAGGACCCTCGATGGATCCCAGGACCCACGCCGTGGATGGGAAGGTCTGACTCCTGCCCTTCACCCACCTGACCTGAGCCCACACACCGCCTTCTTCCCCATCAAATAAGTAAAATATCTTAATAAAATGAAACGTGGAACTTCAGTTTGGATCATGCTGTCATTTCCTTCTTCCTCTCTTTTTTTTCTTTCTCCCCTCCTCCAAGAGATGAACAACTGATTTTAATAAATGTAAACATCTTCCTGCCTGAGCTTTCTTTGTGCTGGGATGGAAGGCATGAGTCACTGCGCCAGGCTCCCATGGTCTTTGAAAATGTCAACTAAATTGGGTAGTGGTGGCACACGCCCTTAATCCCAGCACTGAGGAGGCAGAGACAGGCGGATCTCTGTGAGTTTGAGGCCAGCCTGGTCTACAAGAGCTAGTTCCAGGACAGGCTCCAAAGCTACAGAGAAACCATGTCTCAAAAAACAAACAAACAAAAAGAAAGAAAGAAAGAAAGAAAGAAAGAAAGAAAGAAAGAAAATATCAATTAAATTATTTTTTTGACTAATACATAAAAACTCATGGATAGTGATGGGATAAAATGCGATGCTTTGATGTGCATACACATAATGTAATGTTTAAATTGAGTGCATAAACAATAGTCTCAATCACTGATCAACTGGGAATGGGGGCAAACTAGTTTTTCTAGAACAAAAGAATCAGAGGTGGAAAGAGTTCAAATTTCTGGGCTACATATCGAAAAACCAAACACTAACCCAAAGACAAACTTTCAGGATCCTTCTTTGCTTTTGGACTGCGCAGCGCCTTGCTCTCCGTAGTTGTGGAACTGTGGATTAGCATATCAGAACCTCCTCCCAGCTTCAAATCCTTCCCTCACGCTTCCTCCACCCATCTCTCCCTGTTGCTCTGCCCAGCCTCTGACAGCTATCATTCTACTCTAACTTCTATGCTATTGAGGCTTTAGACTTCACAGATACAAGTGCAATTGCATAAATCTTTTGCTTGACTTTGCCCATTGTTAAAAATAATAAAATTTTGTGTTTTTTTTTAATGGCCAAATTGTCTCAATATATATATATATATATATATATATATATATATATTACTGCATTTTCTTTATCTATTGATCAATGAATAGTCACCAAGGTTGTTTCTATTCCTTAGCTCTTATGAACACCACTACACTAAATATGCTATGCAGACTTGTTACACATACTGATTTCATTTCCTTTCGGTATGTCCCAAGCCGCGGGATTGCTGAATCACGTAGTTCTCAGTTCAAGGGACTGAGGAACTTCCTTGCTGTTTTACATAAGAGATCTACTAGTCTGTATTTTTACCAACAGTGTGCAAGGGTTCCTTTTGCTCCATATCCTTATTGGCCTTGCTATATTTAGCCGTTTTGCCAACCGTTATTCTTATCAGGGTGAGATAGTATTGTGGGCTGGTTATGAGTTGTGTTTCCCTGAGGGCTCCTCAGGGCCATGACACTGTTTTCACACAATTGACTGCCTGTGTGTCTTCTTGCAAACTGTCCACTTTAACTCTGTTGCTCGTCTTCAAGTTGGATTAATCATTATCTTAGTGAGTTTTTTATAGTTCCTTACATGCCAGTCTCTCTATACCAAGCTCTCTATACCAAGCTCTCTATGTCAATTCCTTGTCAGACGCAAAGTTTGTTTTACATACAGCGTCTCCCTTTCTGATGGCTGTCTTTTCTGTGAGTGGTTTCCATCGTGCCCGGGAGCTTTTCAGTGTATCAGGTTTGGTTTTGTTTTCTGAGTTTTCCTTGTCCTTTGCATTTCTGCATTATGTAGGCTTTTCTTTAAAGACAGGAAATGCTGCTGAAGGCTGTCGTGAAGTATAATGCGTACACTTCTATTATCACCAGCGTTTGAAACAAGTTGCCTGCCTATCTCAGCGCTCTAGAAACCATCCCCCAAAGTATACTGTACTGGGTGTGATAGCACACACCTTTCATTCTGGTACTTAGGTGACCAAAGCAGGAGACCACGAGCTCAAGACCACCCTGGTCTATATAGCAAGATCCACAGGGGAAAATGAGAACCCAAAACATTGTTTTAGACTTTTTAATGCACTCTGGTTGAACCACCTTGAACAAATACCCGCTCCTGTTGCTCCCCGTGTTGCTCTAAATGCCAGTGGATCTTCCACTTTGTACGAGAAGAAGAAAAATCAGGGAACTGTATCGTTTTATGAAATTTAGGAAATAACATACCTTTCGATCTCTTTATTCTCACCACCGAAAGCAGCCACTGTCCGCATCGATGAAATGACTTCCTCGGCAACAGATCCTGCTTTGGCGTAAGCCTTCAACTCAAACTCTGTGAATTTGGCCACACTCTAAAATTCATCAGGGGGAAAACAGGAAGTGAACCTGTCAGTCAATGGTTCAGTTAACAAAATGAACAGGTGGTATGGTTTAACAAAACACTGGATTTTTGCTGTAACAAATGAAAAAAAAACTAATTCAAGAATAGCTTGTGTTAAACATCACCCTTGGGTATTTGGAGCTTGATATATCAAAATGATATTAAAAGTCTGTCTCAATGAAAATGTTCTCAGAGTTAAAGTACCCTCAAGTCTGGGAAGACTGGGATTTCAGTTGCTCTGTTAATGAGGTTCCTACGTCAAACTATGACACATCACATCTTTGCTATTGGAAAGAAGTCATTGCAGAATCTACAAACATCAGCGGCAAAGCCTGGAGGCCTACTTAGGGACATGTCCAGAGTAGAGAAGGACAGAGCCACGGTACACAGGGGCATGGCATTGCCGCAGCAACTCCAAAGGAGAAAGCACCAGGTAACTATTTTGACTCAAATATAAAGGGTTTACTAAATTTTTAATTTTTACAAATGGGAAAGACAACCATGTTTAGTAGTTTTTAAAAAGCCACTTTTCTAAAATTGGATTTGGACCGAGTCCTAGGGAAAAGCAGCTGGGCACGGTGGCACACGTCTGTAATCGCAGCACTAGTGAAAAGGAAGCCAGAGAATCAGGGGTTCTCTGGAGCAAGGCAAGAAAGAGGCTTGCAGGAAAACCCACTGTAAAGTTTGCAAGGTCTTGTGGGTTTTTAAAAGTAATAAAATATCTCCTTGACAATAGGTTTTTATGCCAGACACTGTACTTAATGTATAACATGGGTGGTATCCCGACTTACCGCACCATCAAGGCTGTATGGAAGGCGATGGAACTGAGGCTTCGAAGGGTTAATGCGTTTACTCTTCAGTCATAAATGCTAGTGAGTGGCCAGGTCACACAGCTTTATAAAGCACTTTGCTGCTGTCACTTTCTATTGCCTGGGAAGTGTCATGGGTGGCGTGTGAACACTCTACTAGACACAATCACCGTGGTGATTGGCAGCTGCTGTTCAATGATGTCTAAGTATTGCTCCTACGTTCCCTTTGAATTCTACTGATAGCAAAACCCCAGCATGCCTCATACCATGACCCGTAATCTAAACATTTTTAATGTGTTCTACCGATAAAAAATAATAATTCCTGAAATGAGGGAAGATCTTTAACCGCAGTGACCCCAAACTCCTATTCCTACACTTGGGTCTGGATAACCGAAGTGAGGGACAGACCTTATACCAGAGATGACACTCAGAATGAATCCACAGAGCCTGGCCCTTAAATGGTTTAGAATGCCTGAAGGCACAGCTGAGAAGTCAGACATCTCATTGGAACACTTGTTGCTGATCTACGTGTACTTGTGCCCTTTTGAGCATCTGAGCATGGGGAGCAACAGGACAGCTGGAGACCGGGTGGGATTTGATGTCAGGCTCTTATGAACACCTAGCTGTAAAGTCCTAAATAGCTCCCTTCTGAGCTCCATTTATTGACTCCTAACCGGTATTAACAGTTTCCTTCTGAGTAAGCATTAGAGACGGTGGGTGTGAAACCCCTTAGAAAGTACCTGACAGAACAGGAGATGTTTCATGAATGCAGTAGATTGCTGTTAGCCAAATAAAAACCTTCCTAAAATATCATTAATTCATATTCTGTGGAGCATCATTTAATTGTGAGGTGTAATCAAACATCAGAAGTCAATATAATGATAATCACATTGACCATACATGGAGAAGAAACCCAAGCGTCCTGTTTTGGCCTTTCGTGACTGCAAATGTGTATCTTCCTCTGAAGCGAAAAACAAATAAGTAAATAAACAAACATTCTTACCAGCCCTATGATGGCTGCTCCGATCCCAATGAGAGGACTGACAGAAATAATAACCAAGGTCAGTTTCCAGCCTCTGTAGAACCCTATCACGAACCCAGAGAGGGCTGTCATCATGCGCTGAATGAAAAGAGCCATCTGGTCGGCAATGGCTTCATTGATTTTATTAATATCACTGGAAACAAGAGAGGGGCAGATCAATACGACTGGATTCCAAGGACAGTTTGGCTTTGCTGAGTGGGTTCTAAAAAGCACTTCAGGTCCTTCTGGTTTTCAGCTGTTTTCAGTGGAAACTGCCCAAGTTTGATAGTTGTTAGGAGAGAAGAAATTTACCCCATTGTTCAGAGAGATCTGTACATTTAGTTGATACAGGTGGGGGTCCAGGGTTGCTAGGAGCATTTTTCGGAGGTGTGTGTGTGTGTGTATGTGTGTGTGTGTGTGTGTGTGTGTGTGTGTGTATGCACATGTGTACACACACAGGAGCTCGGCTGCCAAGTACATTACTGTAAGCGGGAGGGTATGTCTAACCCAAGCAGAGTCCCAAGTTACCAGCATCCCTCAGGCTTGCCTGCCTCATCTGCACAGTACACTTAGCTGACCTTTGCAAGGCTTCAGAGTTCAGTTCCTCGGGATCCCACTACTGTAAGCTGTTCCGGGGTCTGTTGTTTGTTTACTTTTTGTGTTTTGCTTTGTCACTGTTATTGCTTTTAACTTTCTTCAGCTCCTTTCAGAATTTCTGGGTTTGTTTCTGTGCCTTCACAGACATAGCAAAACAATTACTTCCAAGTGTATTTTTCCATGTGTGTGTAGGGTGTCAGGACTGTCTCTCAGTTTCACCTTATGTCAAACAATGTCACATATCTAAACTCGCTCCTGTAATAATTCATGTCTAATATTTTGACCAATAATCTACAAACAAATTGTAATAACCTGTCTTTTTTACTAACTATATTATAAGCTATTATCTATAAAAAATGTCATACCTATGAAAGTCTAATTTATTTTTATTTATTTATTTGATAATTTTTAAAACCAAGGTGTCATATAGCCCAGGCTGGCTTTGAATGTCCTTGAACTTCTGATCATTCTGCCTCCAGCTTTCACCTGCTAGACTAACAAGGACTTAACTCATAACCGTGTTTTTTTTTTAATCAAAACAATACATTATAGCATAGTTGTACAAGCTACTTACTCGGAGAATCTTGAATTCAGCTCTCCCACTGAAGTACAGTCAAACCATCCAATTTCCATCCTCATTATCCTCTGAAAGTAAATTTTCCTCATTTTCCTTGTTTGACGAGCCCCAGCGATGACCCAGAATTTTATCTGGAAGTGGACAGAGGCGTGTTTAACATGGCAGCGCTGAGCACATTCATTTATTCTCTTCTCCTATTCCTGACAGCTCACACTTCCCATAGTTATGGTTGGGAGTAGCGGAAAAGAAGAGGGAAGTCATTCACAAAGTGGCTCTCCTTGGACACTAAGGTACGAGCTCTGACACCCCCTGTTGATGGGGAAGTGAGCTCAACATTTGCAGGGGTGCCCAGAGATCCGGCTTTGACTCCAGTTCTGGCGAGCGGACAGGCCACTGTCTTTGAATTTTGCCTGTTGGGTTTCACTGTCTACATCAAGGGAAACAGGCTACAGCATCCACACTGAGACACGGATGCTCCAGGCTCGCTCTTTTTGCACACCACTTCCCTGCTTTCTCCTTGGTATAAACCTCTAGGCATCCATGTGATCTAAGTACAGTGTTCAAAAATGATTTGGGGGAGCCGGGCGGTGGTGGCGCACGCCTTTAATCCCAGCACTCGGGAGGCAGAGGCAGGCGGATCTCTGTGAGTTCGAGACCAGCCTGGTCTACAAGCGCTAGTTCCAGGACAGGAACCAAAAACTACGGAGAAACCCTGTCTCGAAAAAAAAAATGATTTGGGGACAATATAAGACAAAAGTCACGCTCAAAGCAGGGAATCTCATTTGTTGATAGATTCCTCCCCCTCCCCCCCCAAAAAAAGAGAAAAGAAAAAAGTATCACGTGAAGACTCAGTAAGAAATGGATCAGTTTCTCTTTACAATTAATGATACCCGAAATCCTTCCATAAGTGAAGTGGAAAATTCATTACCTTTGTTTCTACAGAAGGTGGCAAAACATGAAATATCTTCCTTCTTTAATAAAGCTAAGTAAGCTTAAACCCTTTGATTACTTAACACTAGAAAATCTGATTCAGAATTACAGAGTCGGGCCTGGAATGCCACTTGGTTAGACCTCAGCAAAGAAGGAGGAAAAAAAGGAATCTACTCTTTGCTCTGTTAACCTCTCAGTGCCCCGCGTTCTCCATGCTGCTCAGCTTCAGCCTACAGATATACTGCAGCTCTTGATGCCCGGGCTGGGAAGAGCAGAACAAACAGGGATGGTCAGGGGTAGGGAGGTCTACTCTGTCTCCCTGCGCAATGGCTTGCACCGACTGGTTCAGCTGTCAGCTGAATTGTCCAGGTCTCTCACATCTTTCTTGAGTAGACCTGCTGTTCTTAGGGTTTCTGAACAGCTTCAAAGCTAAAAGCAGCATTTCCAGTTTCATAGTGGTGTCTACGAAGCCAGATGTTGGTCTGTAAAGAAAACGGAGGTTCAACTAACTTGAATGTATCCTAGGATAAGGACAATCGCACCGATTCCTGCGTAGATGCCCGAGTAGGTCATTATTTCACCTTCGATGTCCAACAACCTTAAAAAGAGGGAAAAGCGCTGAGATTTACAAGTAGGATCCAGTTATCAGAGCTTACCCTGGTAGGTTTAGAGGGCTTTATTGTAAACTTACTACGTATTTCTCTTAAATAGGGGAAGGCATTGTGCTTCATTAGTGTAGTGTTACAACTGATCCAGTCAAATCCCTGAGTAGTGTTTACAGCAGCAATTATGCCACAAATATGTTCACAATCTTCATTTTCTTACACAAAGATGCTACAACACATGGCAGTTTTTAGAAAAGAGTGGACCCAGAGGGATCCAGCTCGTCCCCTTTTGCTCATTCACACGCAGAGAAAGATTTTAACCAGCCAGTTGGACTGCCTGCAAAGACAGTTCTAGAAAGACTTGAGCTGTCAAGCGAGAGCTTACTGTTTCACCCCTCTTGGGGATCAGCCAGCTTTCCACCTTCTCCACTCCAGAGGAACATTTTAAAATGTGTTTGTCGTATTCCTACAGGGGAGAGACAGACCCTCCCATCAGCCCTGCTTTCCACTGACTATGGCCCACAAGCGTCTCTCACTAGGGTTAGTTCGTGAGTTGAAGAAGAAGTGGCAGCACAGAACCCTAAGCAGCTCTCTCCACTCCTGCAGAGATGTCGTGTTGTGACACGGGACGTGGGCGCACAGAGCCGGGCAAGGGAGGAACCAACACTCCGAATCGGTATCCAGGAAAGAAGGGACTTCTGCAATGTGAGAATTAGCATATTTGTTGATAATGATGCTGGACTTGAAGAGCTAGTTTAATGGTGCGGATCCCATTTATTTAGGAAAGGAAAAGACAGAGGAGGTTCTTCAGCGCACACTTCCCCAGCCTGCAGGTTTCAGCTGTCACCGTTCCCTAGTAGCCTGAGTTTGCCTCTAATAGAAAAAAATAATTTTCTCTTTTATGTGCTCTGCTTCGGATTTCAGGTCGAAAAGTCTCATTGTCTAACCTAGAACATGAAAGTAATCTCAAATACAGCTATAAAAAACAATAGTTTAAAAAATATTTAAGTCCATGGGTCTCCTGAGTCCACCTTCTTACAGTTTTTACCTCTATTCCCCATGAACCCCTAGTTGCTCCAATATCATTAGAAGTTATCTTTCCTCCATTGAATTTATTTCCATCCTTATTTAAAACATAATAGGCATGCTTATTTTTGTGAACAGATTTCTGAATACTGTCTGTCCACCAATACCACCACAGGCTCTATTGCTGCAACTACAATTAATATTGAAATTTGGTAGGTTCATTTTATTTTTAATGAATTTAGCTCTAGTTCTTTTGCTTTTCAATACATATTTTAAGGCAGTCTATGCCTATATTGGACAAAGTAAGTGTCCAACAATTTCTCAGTGAAGAAAATGTAGCATGTACACAATAGAATACTATTTAGCCTTCAAAAAGAAGGGGACGCCCTTTCAGCTGGAAGCCTTCTCATGAAGTGAAGTCAGCCAGATACAGGAAGTGATGTCATGCAATCTCACTTACACAGAGAATCTGAAAATTGGAACCCACAGGAAATAATAAAATGGTATTCAGGAACTGGGAGTGAGGAAAGCAGCAGATTTTTATCAAAAGATAGAAAATTTGGGTGCAAAGGAATCCAGTGTAAGAGTCCCATTGCACAGCACAGCTACAGCTAGTGACTGTGTCTTTGAATACTTGAGAATTCTAAAGGGGGGCTTTTAAGTGTTTGCATCATAAAAAGTATATATAATGATATATATGTTGATTAGGATAATTTAGACACCCTACAATGTAAACAAATGTCAAAATGTCTCATCGTACAAAAATATATTTGTAATCTTAATGTATTAACTCAAAATTTTATCAGAGAAATAAATAAACCAGAACAGATTTATATACAGCAAAGAGACTGAAACAACAATCAAAAGCACCCAGCAAGGGAAAGACTAGATGGCGTCAAGGATAAATTTTACCAACTAGTTAAATATCGATGTTTATTTTAAAGCTTAAAAAAATGTAAACTTGAAAGAAATGCTTTCAAATTCACTCTATGATTCCAAACTAATAAGAAAAAAATCAAAAAGTACATGGTGATATGTCTAATGAGTACAGTCACAAGAATCCTAGACAACGAGGAGACCCGGGATGCTCAGGTGACAAAGCACTTGCCACATCAGCACAAGACCTGAATCTGATCCCCACCACTCATGAAAAAGCCAGTTGCGCCCCATGCACCTGCAACTCCTGCATATACCTACAACCCCTTCAAGAGACAGGAGGACCTTTGGGGCTTTCTAGTAAGCCATCTAGCAGACTGTGTAAGCTCTGGGTTCAGTGAAAGACCCCAACTCACATGATATAACCAGTGAGCTCTCGGGGCCCCAGCAGATGCATTCACGCCCATGCTCACGCTAATGGCCCTGGTTGAACCCAGTGGGTCCCAAAGCAAAAACAAAACACAAGACCTAAAAGTGGGATAGGGACATACTAGCAGAAAGAGGAAAGGGTTTTGTGAGAAGGATAATCGAGGGTGGCAAGACGGCTATGCCCAGAGTGTGTTATATGCGTGTCTGAAATAGATCATAAATTAATTTTAAAATGTAAATAAAAATAAGACGGGGAACGGAAGACATCCAATGAAGGCCTCTTGTCTACATACACATCTGCACACACAAGTTCACAAACTCTAACAGAAGTTTTGGCCAAAATAAGTACCTCTTAATGGCTAAAAACCTCTCGAACCAGGAATAGAAGGCAACCCCTTCAACAGATCAAAGGCACCTGTGAAAACCTACAGCTCGCACCATTCACAACGGTGAAGGACTTCAAAGATGAGACAGAGACAAGGGCACGTACTCTGGCGGCTCCTACTCAACACTGCGTGGGAAGACTGGCTCAGAGCAGCGAGACAAGAAAAAATAAAACTAAGAAAATAAGGCACTCAGTGAGAGATGGATTCTGGTCTCTAATCCTTATCAGGGTTGCTGAATAAGAACTATTTGTAAGAGTTCAGCTTTCATATCCCACCCAGTAAAGAGGAATGTACAATTCGGGTTAGCAAAAGTACAAAACCAGCTCCTGCCGCGGCCTGCACATGAACCCCGCTGAAGTTACTGCCTTGCCTTACAGATCCCTGACCAGCACAACTATTGTGCCATAATTACGCAATCATGTATCCTTAACAATGAGTTCTTCCAAGAAAGGCTTTTGAAAGAATTAGGTAACTTGAGAGGCGTTTTAACCCTGACCCATGAGAAAATGTTCTCTCCCTTATCCGGGAATACACCCAACTCCATTTTCAAAACATTCTCACCCCACAACTGTAAAAAAAAAAATGGTACTCATAATGGCGGCTGCAATAACTACAGTAGAAGATTTAACTTGTCCAAGAGGTCCAGGTAAATGAATAATCTAAGAAAAGTAAGCCTGAAGCTATTCTACCTTACCTATATGATTATTTTAGAAGAGAAAGACAAAGGACCGTTTTTAATGCTTCATCTTTTTTTATGCCTTATCAAATGATCGATTAAATACTTGTATCATGGGAACTCTGCTGAGGCCAATGTTCTTCCGAAAGTTCCAGGCTGCAACATTTGTTCAATTTCAGGTATAAGGCCTACCTAGTAAGATGAACCAATGAGTGCTGGTAGCTACAGGAAATCCCTTGCTTACCAATGCCTGTGGTGTAAACACCAAAGCTAGATTCGCTCTTCAGTTCACATGTGTCTGTAGACAGCTAATGCGCTGGAAATGTCTCCCATTTCGACCTAACATTTGTTTTTATGATTTAATGGCCCAGTGGTTATCAATGGCTGTGGTGATATCACTCTCAAAAAAAAAAAAAAAAAAAAAAGTAGCTCATTTCTGCCCTCCAAAGGAAATGCGGAGCTTTAGAGAACCCATTAAAATCAGTCTCTTTCAGAAGACAATATCTTTGCAAGCTTAGGGAAACACACAAATTCAGATGCCAGCAAATTTATTTCCAATGTGTTGACTTGCTAATTTTTAAACTTGCCTTTTCAAATGTGTATTGTAGCATATGCAAGTATGTGTGTGCATATGTGCATGTATGTGAGGGACACACACACACACACACACATTTTCACCTTATTTTTGAGACAGGGCCTCTCACCACTCCTGGAGATCACTGATAGCTAGGCTGACTGGCCAGCAAAATCTGGGGAGCTTGTCTTTTTGTCTCTTCCTAACCTTTTCCCTCAGCTCTAGACTTACAGATGCAGACATTGCTTTTAAAAATATTATTATTATGATTAATTAAATCTATTCATTTATTTGACATCCCAACTGCAGTTTCCCCTTTTTCCTATCCTCCCCTGCCCTCCCTATACCTCACTCCACACAACACAATACCACACCCAACACCCCCGCTACCACAACCCACTTCTCTGTTTCTGTTCAGAAAGGGCCAGGTCTCCCTCTACTTGTAGGACTCCTAGGGGAAGAAGCAGAGCCTGTCCCTAAAGCTTTGGCTGGCTTCCAGGAACCCATTCCTCATACCGGGTTGCCTTGCCCAGCCTTAACACAAAAGGAGAAGCATAATTCTACCTCATCTTGATGTCATTCCTGATTTTTATGTGGGTGCCAGGGATCTGAACACAGGTCTTCTTGTTTACATAGCGAGCACTATACCCACTTAGCGATCTCCCCAGTGTCTGCTTATTAATTTTGAAAGGATGATTCTCTGCCTTGCATAGAATTTTGGGCTTTGCCTCATCTACCACCATTAGTTTATAACTAATGTTTTATGAATGATTACTGGATGAACGGCCATCTGGCTGACTAGACCAAGGCTCTGCAAATATAAAGATGTGACTCACAGTGGGTCCCTGAGGCCTCTACAAGTTCATGTTACTTAATTGACATCTCAAAGTATTTTTGATTGAAGGAGTGAAAGACCCTCAAAGTAGATGACATGATGGAAGAATTTTAATGATTTAGAAAGACCCATAATTTAAATCAAGCCTGTCAACATTTTTCAAAATTTAATATGAGAAACAAAAACGTATTTGAGGCAGCCATCCTAAGCGTCTTTCTAGGAAGGATACGCCCTTCCTTGGACCCATGAGCCTGAGCATATGGATTCATATGTGCCAGTGAACTTGTTCTGCACTGGAGGCCGCACAAGGCAGGTGTAAGGTCCATGCCACCACCACGTGAGTCAGCACACGCGTACTGCAGACTCACTGATTACCAAGCGGTCTGCCTGTTGGGTGTATCTCAGACTGAGGTAGTCTGAGTTCTGGCTACTTTTTCAGGGCCACAGGGTCACAGTAACTTAGTTACTGGCTGTAACTATTGATTCTTATCCCTCTAATGCAGCATGCACATGAAACACACAGAGAGGGGACAAAGCCAAGGGGCAAAAGGGGACTAGCAGGGAAGGAGCTTTTGTCTAGGAGACTCAAGTGAAATTCAGTAATCTCCTTGGTGACAATACGTATTGACAGTGTTCTGCTCAGGCTTACAGTAAACATAGTCGTTAATTGTTGCTGGGTGCTTGATCAGCAATGCCTGTTGATGTTTTGAGACCTGAAAGGGCAGGAATAACTGCAAGGTTAACAAATTTCTATCAACACGGGTAAATTTGTTTTTCTGTTCTTTTGTGTTAGGTGCCATTCCAACTCCGTCAATATTTCCTTTGGATGTTTTGAATTCTAATTTAAGATACAACAAAAAGAAAAATAGCCTACCCACATGGTGTTCCATTTGTCACGTTCTGGTTGAAGGAGTTGTTGATCCATACGATGGTGTTATTTATACACGCTTTTCCTGGAATCGCGAGTTCTTGTCTTTCAATGTCATACTCAATAAAAATATCTATCATTATACCAAAAATAATAAGGATGCCTGGCTGGGCCATTCCGTGGAGCATTGCACACAGACTTCCCACAAACATCAGCCAATTGTCGGTCGATGAAGAAAACCGAAACTTGAAAAACAAAGGGTTCAGAGATTATAGATGAAACGCAGGGCAGACAGAAGGCCTACTTGATTCCACTTAGATTCTGATAAACAGCCTTCAACACCAGGTGCTTGTGGGAGTCATGTCTGAGCAGTGGTCGTCACACTAATCACCCATCAATTGTCTACGACATTAGACTCTTACATTACATCCGAATCTTTGAATCTAGTCTCCTCGGGCCAGTAGCTGACTTCACTACCCTGTAAGCTGTCATCATGGGGGCCATTACCGGCTAGATATACTGGATGAGCTTTCAACAATAAGTTGCCTCTCAGCTTGGAGAGCCCATCTGGACAGTGAGCAGATTTTTCCTTTGAAATGCCTTCATTCTACACAAATCTGGGATAAATCCCTAAAACTATGGAATTTCCAAAGACTTCTCATAAGAATGGGCTATATATGATCTACTGTTTTGGGAGTTATTGTGATAGGGATTTTTTCCTTAATAAAATTATAATTGTGAGTCCGCTGATTCTATTCCAATTGGTTTTGATGATATCGAAGATGAGCACTGAATTTCTAATCACTATTCAGCGTGTTACCACACAGGTAAAGCGCACGGCTACATGGTTGATCATGGGTTAAATTCTGCCAATATGACTAAAGAATTGGTACTTTCTCCAGTATGTGAGTCATTCACAGTTGCAAAATCAACCAAATAAGTCAGCATGGTTTTATTACCAGTTCAAAGAAGCCAACTTGAAACTCTTCACCTTTCTTTTTCTCTTGTGTCCTGAGGAGAAAAACAGACATTTAAAGGTCTTTCCTCCCCCCCCCAAAAAAAATGATGAGAATTTCTCCCTATTCATTACTCCCTGAATCATTCTTTAGTAAGAAAGAATGTTCCCTCTGGCTGGGAAATTCTAACCAAACCCAGTATTTTAATGTATTTTGCACACATGAACTCTCAACACCTGTGGATGCCTGGTCAAGACCTGCACAGGGCCACACTAGTCAACATTACGGCACGGGTGGGGGAAAGGCTCACAAGGCCCCATGCTGTGGGACAATCGTTTTTGCCCTGTAAACATTTGTTTTTTTGTACTTGTTTAATAAAATGCTGATGGGCCAGTAGCCATGTAGGAAGTATAGGCAGGGCAACCAGGCAGGAAGTAGAGGCGGGGCAATGAAAACAGAAGAATTCTGGAAAGAGGATTCTACAGTCTGCAGTCATGATCCAGACATAGAGCAAGCAAGATGAGAATACCTCGCTGAAAAAGGTACCAAGCCATGTGGTTAACATAGACAAGAATAATGGACTAATATAAGTTGTAAGAGTTAATAAGAAGCCTGAGCTACTGGGACAATCAGTTTATAATTAATGTAGACCTCTGTGTGATTTCTTTGGGACTTAACAACTGTGTGAAACAGGCTGAATAATAGCTGGGAGGGACAGAAACCTCAGTCAACAGCCCCACACCTAGCTGAGGAGTCACAGGCAGCCAGTGGCATCTGAAAGTGTATATGGGGAGGGGGTTCATTTTCTTCAGGAATGAGACCCTTAGTGGACTGCCCATTCTCCAGAGGTCAGCCATAGACTCATGTATACATAGGTAATAGTAAGTGAAATCAGCAGGAGATATAAAATAAACATAGTCTAGTTCTTCCGAAGCCAGGCATTTGGCCTTTGCCAAATGTGCTCCCTCCCAAAATGTCCTTTCTTAGACACCCACAAAGGTAGACAGTTACTCTAACTTTGGACTTTCGCTCTGAGTCTCAATCTCCTCAGCAGGGCGTTCCCTAGCCAAGATGGTTAAGATTTCAATAACATCTTCCCTGCCTCACACATCTTAAACCTTCGCTTCCAATTCTTGCTTTTTTATCAGAAAAAAAAGTTGCACATTCTCAGTAGCTACCATGCAAAGTTTTCATAATTTATATTATTTATTCTATCTCTTCGGAGCACTGAGTCCGAAATGGGATGTCTTCATCAAGGCTCAGAGATCTGTGCAGAAGAGAAGGCAGAAAGACTCTAAGAGCCAGAGGTGATGGAGGACGCCAAGTCCTGTTGAAATAGGACTGATGCACACGTGAACTCACAGAGACCGTGGCCACACACACAAGACCTGCACAGCTTCAAGCCAGACAGGGTCCCAGCACTGAGAGGAAGAAGGGGACCCGGGATCTCACCCTGAACAGAGAAGATTTGCTATTGATACCTGTTAGCAAACAGAAAATTCATTTTCTCCAACTGTGTGTCGCTGGGTATATATAGTGGATGGTTGTATAGTTCGGGGCAGGCCCCATGCCCAGGAGTATAAATTCCCTAATAGATTGTCTGTTGGGGACTTTTTTATTCCTTTTATATATTTATTTTTGACATTCTTTGTCTTATTGGGGGCTTTTCGTTTGTTTGTTTTGATTTTCATTTTTGTGAGTTTTTTTTTTTGTGAGAGAGAAAGAGAGAGAGAACATAAAGTTCTGTAGGTAGGGAGATGTGAAGGATGTGGTAGGAACTGGAGGACAAAAACATGATCAAAATATGTTGTATTAAAAAATTAGTGAAGGGGCTGGAGAGATGGCTCAGAGGTTAAGAGCGAGCACTGGCTGCTCTGCCAGAGGTCCTGGGTTCAATTCCCAGCAACCACATGGTGGCTCACAACCATCTGTACTGAGATCTGGCGCCCTTCTCTGGTGTGCAGGCATACATCGAGGCAGAATGTTGTAAACATAATAAATAAATTAAAAAAAATTTAAAAAAAATTAAAAATTAGTGAAAAAATAACATAACCTCCTCTTGGTGACTCTGTTTCTTCTCAGCCTTCCAGTGGGACTTCCGGAGGACTGGGGCCACCTGATCCCTCCTAGCCCGGAGTTAATCTTACCACACCTCCTTATATCATGAAGTACTTCACATTTCTTAAACCAACCTTCTGCCACCACTACCGCCCCCCTCCAATGTGAGGAGCTCACGTGGTACGGCTTCTCCGAGGCAGACCCAGCTAACCCTGCCCCATACACGTTTACCTGTCGGCTCAAGCTGGCGTGCTGAAAAGAAAGCTCTAAGAGTTCAATTTGAGGAGTGTATAGTCGCCTCAGGGAGGGGGGGGGTATGAAGTTGGAGGAGCTCCTAGCACTCGTGAAACCACACTTATCGTCCCGTGCTTTCCTGCTTGTTTGGGCTGGCAGTGGACTGGGATGCGCGGGCAGAAGCCTGGACTAACCAGGAAGGGATATCCTATGAGGCTTTAAAGAGAAGAAAACATTGTACCCATGCATGGGAAGTAATGCATATGAAAATGCTCTGCTCTGCATTTGCAGAAATGAAATGAAATGAATTTCTGCCCTGGCAATGCTGATGCACGCATGGGCAGCCCGTATATGGCGGTTCTGTTGAACTTGTCCATGTTGGGTTTCATGGTCTAATTGATGAGGATGACTGACCAGGTCTCTTCCTCTAGAGGGCGCCAGATCTCATGACAGATGGTTGTGAGCCACCATGTGGTTGCTGGGAACTGAACTCGGGACCTTTGGAAGAACAGGCAGTGCTCTTAACCGCTGAGCCATTACTGCATTTATAGGAATACTCTGAAATCCTTCTAGAGAAGATGTTGTGTTGTTGAAAAGGCTACTCTACTCACCTTGGTTTCTTATCATTGTTATCTGTCAGGATGAAAACAATGTATAGAGAAGTTAATAAAAATCATGTCCAAATGCAACACAATCATAAGCATTTCTGTGCAGTACTTTTACTCAAAAAATATTATAAAATAATTGTTTCCTCTCTCCATCTTTTTCTCTCTCTCCCCCTCCCTCTTTCTCTCTCTTCTTCTATCCCTCCCTCCTGCTGCTTTGACTATATATTTGGATTTTTTTTCTCCAGATCACAAAATGTTTATATTTTCTAAATATCAAAAGGAAGTTGGTTTGTTTGTTTGTTTTTCCTCTTTGAGACAGGATCTCTCATTCTGTCATGCAAGCTGGGCTGGGAACTCTGACTCCTGGCAATTCTCCTGCTTCAGTCTCCCAAGGGCTGGGATTACAGATGTGAGCCACGGTGCCTGATGGAAGCTACCAGTTCTAAACTGGCTGAAGTGAATATGGTTATTTAAAATTATCTATGGAAATGGGAATTACTTTATCGTTTGGTTCCTTAGACATCATCAAAATCTTTGTATTAAGCAGATCACAAATTGGCTGTAAGATATCTTTTATACTGGTATTGAATATGTACTATTTTTATGTATTTTTTTTGTCAGCACGCATAGAGCAAATGTCGGTAGGAAATGGAACTGGGTCTACAGGGGCACAAAAAAAAAAAAAACAGAGAAAAAAGCCCTAAGGGGTATTTGTTATCATGGCCATCATTTATTGGTTCCACTGGCATTTTTAACACAATTGCAGTAAGACTAAAGATACATTACAGTTTAGACACAGGGCTTGAGAATCGGAAAACTGGACTAGAATCATGATTCCGTGAGTCATAACTCTTGTGATTTTTACCAACTTTTAAGAAGCTAGCAAAGCCTTGATTTCTCTGTCTGGAAAATATAGAAGCATACGACTTAATCAACAAATGACAGCCTAGAGTCGGTGCTCACAACATGCCAGGGAGTAATGCTGCAGGGCGCCTCCCACACAGTCTCATTCCTGCCAGGAGCAGAAGCCCTTAACACTTACTGTTGCCACTGTGATCAGTAATGATACCGGGATAAAGTTATCACAATGGCCAGTGCTGAACAACCCTGCTCTACCTAGGAAGGAGTTCTCATGGGAGATGCTGCCCCTGGGTCACGGGCTGTGCATACCAACACGGAGCTTCCAGATGTGGCACAACATGGATTCTGGATGCTGTATGTCAGGCCCCGTGCCCAGCAATAGCTCCACATGTCGTAGCTGACTTCTCTCTGTGTCTTCAAACCTCGACGGATTAGCCTCACCTTTGTCTTTATTTTTCTTTGCTTAATACTCAAGGAAATTCAAAGGCCACTTACTCGATCCGTCTGATTCAAAAGCATGATTCTCCTCTCCAAATTTCTTCACACTGCGAAGAATTACCGAGTCAGACATGGTGTTTGCAGTCTGCACTCAACAGCCCTGTAAAATAAAACAGTTGCTGCAATTACTGTATATTTTCTCTTTGACAAAAGTAGTCAGATCAGCAAGCTTCTGTAGACAATCCAAAACAAAAGCAGATCTTTTAATCCAATAACATGTCAGTGAACTAGACTAAATATTAGGAAAGATGAACTAAAAGCTGGATTAAAGTCATGATTTCATTGTTCCTCAAATGACCTTCGCCAGCTTTTCAAAAAGTTAGCCCAACTGAAAATGGTTTTCTTGCTTTTCGACTTTTGGCTCAGAGGAGGCTATCATATAACTTTCTTCAGTCATCCCGAATCCAGGTTCATCCATCACCAGCCACCTCCACCATGCCTCCCAAGTTCAAACCCCAGGAGATCAAAGTTTTGTACTTGAGGTTTGCCAGAGGTGAGGTGGGCAACCACATCTGCCTTGGCCCCAGAGATCAGTTGCCTGAGTCTGTCTCCAAAAAAAGTTGGTGATGACATTGCCAAAGCCCCAGTAACTAGAAAGGTCTGAGGATTACAGCAAAATTGACCATCCAGACCAGACAGGCCCAGATGAGGTGGTGCCCCCTGCCTGGTCATCAGGGACCTCAAGGAGCCACCAAGAGACAGAAACAGATGAAGATGAAACATGGTGGAAATACCAGTTTTGATGAGATCATCAACATTGCCCAGCAGATGTAGCACTTGTCTCTAGCCAGAGAACTTTCTGGAAATATTAAGATGATCCTGGACCCTCATGACATCAGCATTGATGCAGCGGAATGCTCAGCTTGTTAAAAAGCCATGAAAGAAAATATTTCAATAAAAGACTATCTGATAAAGCTAGAAAGCAAGAAAGCAAGCAAGAGAGAGAGAGAGAAAAGAAAGAAAGAAAGAAAGAAAGAAAGAAAGAAAGAAAGAAAAGAAAAAGGTTTTCTTTAGTTGGTGGATAATTTGTTTATTAAATTTATTTGTTCTTTCTGTTTATCTGTGCTTTATTTTTAACAGAATCTCATCAAAGCACTAAGTAGAGAAGAAAACAACCGATGACATTCTTAAGTGTAGCTGGTACAATGACACCCAAGTTCTTTCAAGTCATGTCAGTGGTCTTTTGTAAGTAGAGCCCCAAGGGATGGTGAGTCCAACCAGAGCCGTGTTGATCACAGCTCTCTTTACGATTTTTCTCTGCTTTCTTATCAATAACCAATAATGGAAAACATCTTCAAAGTGCAAGGAAAAATAACTTTTAACCTAACGATTTATCCTGGACAACAAACAAACAAAAAACCATTTTGTCTATATCCTGGCTTTGAACTCCAAGATAGTTTCCATTCACAAACCCAAGCATCTATTATCAAAAAAGAGTTTCCAGAAAGTACCATGAAAGAGAATCTAGTGTGAATATAAGAACAAACAAAATATCTTGGTACAGTCTGTCAAGTTATGGTATGGAGTTTAACCTGTTATATTTCAAAAAGACAAAAAGTAAAACTGTGTAAGATGTTCAATGAGTGGATGGAGTGTGTTCAGCTAATTCTCAGAAGTATCTATGGCCGCTGTTTTAAAAACGTTATTAAATTCAGCTCAGGGTCCCTAGCCCTGGTCCGACACAGTTCCATGCCAGGCCATGTGACTGGCAGGGGGTGAGGTGGGGGGTGGAGGACAGGAGCCGCTATCTGGTAACTCTAACCCCAGGATGCAACCGAGCAAGAGCAACAGCACCGCATCATGTCCTGAAGCTGGCCTGAGCAGGTCTCAAGCAAGTACTGCCCGGCACCCATGGCACCTGAGTGTCAGACACCATTGTGGTAAGCAGATAGAGGGTGGAGATGGAGGTGGAAGCGATAAAGAGGTGGAGAGGTTCATGGGCTGGGGAAAGAGCCAGATCTGAGGAGAAAAGGGTGGTGAGGAATAGGCTAATGTGAACCACCTGAATCTGGGGCTATTTCCAGGCCTGGGCTTCTGCCAAGGGCCAGTTTTGGTCCGAGGCCCTGGAGCGCTGAGAGGAAATAAGAAGATGCCTGTGGCTTCTGCCGCCACTTAGGGGCCACTGAGGGCCCTGAGGAGACCTGTGGTCTGGCTGCAACCTGGAGCCAGGTTGACAACCGAGGGCCACGCTACTGAGGGGGCCGAGAGGATCTGAGTGGCATGTACAGCCACCTGGGGCCATGATGATATCCGGGTCCAGGCTGTTGCCGAAGACCATGTCTGGGTCCATGGTCCTACCACAGCTGGGGTCTGTGTTGATGTCTGGTGGCCCATGGTGCCCCCAGGAGCCGCATGGAGGCTCAGAATCTAGGCCTGCAACATGTGACCATGTTGGTGTCTGAGGGCTGTGCCGCAACCTGGGCCATGAAACAGCGCCACTAGTTAGTATGGGTTTTCCCATTTTAACTAACCTAGTCAAAAAAATCTTTCACAGGCAGAGACAGAGAATATTGAATCTAGATGGTTCCTTCCTCACAGAAGGAATCTGTATCTTGTCAAGTTAATCATCTATCACACTAGACACAATGTGTGGTTTAGTGTGACACGGGCATGACTATTATGGGGACAGCCGGTGTCTCTCTGGTTGAACTGAAGGTCCCCTGTCACAGCAGAGAGTTTGTGCTTCCTACTCAAGAGCCCATGGCTGGGGAGGTCGTGGAAAACTATTATTATTATTTTTGCTAAATTGTTATGTTGTCAAACTGTCTTCTAAATACTTCAAGTTTATACCCACAGATAAGGGCAATGCCCAGCCTTAATCAGAGAAGCTTCTAGAAGCCCATAACTGGCCAAAGTTCCAAGAATGTTTGGACGGTGGAGTGTTTAGCACTAAATGGGAAAGCTCTGTCATCCCTTCCAAGGCCCAAGGAACATCATGGAAGAAGGAGCAGAAAGAACGTAAGAACCAAAGGATGGGGAATGTGTGGCCAAAAAAAAAAAAAAGTGTCTTCTGGGCATGACGCAGCCATTGCATGCATGAGTTCACTGAAACTGAGTTTTCTGCAGCTAGACCTGCACGAGGCTGGACTTCCCAATGTCTCGGCATGGATAGAGCGGGACCCATGAGGCCCCGCCCTTTCCTGAGACACTATAAGCGTAACAGCTGTCCAGAGAAGGGGCGTCATCTTCTCCCATCAATGGTTCTTGCTCCGGTAAGCAGCCTTCCACCTACGCTCTGGCAAGCAACTCTAGTCAGGCAGGATGAGCCGCACGGAAAAGGAAGATATACAAGCAAGACTGGGAAAGTGAGAAGAAGTCCAGCAAGAGAGGGAAACAGGTGGGATGAAAGATGGCTAAAATTTATTATACAAGTAACAATAAGTAGGAAATTATCAACCAATTAAAAAGGCAAATAAAAATTTAATTTGACCACTAATAAAAAACGAAATTTCTCTATATAGCTATATTTTACATTTTTATTTAAAATTTTGCGTTCAAAATATATTTTGATCATAGTTTTCCCTCCCCCAGGAATAAACATTTCTATATATAACTTTTAGCATACATTCTGATATCAATGTAACTGAGTAAGAAATAAAAGATTAAACGCTGTTGATCTATACACATTTGTATTCAGTAAAATTGTGTGTTATGACTTTAGAATGTATGTATGCTAAGGATGAACTCACAGTGAAAATTAGGAAATATTTGGGACCTGATAATACAGACAGAAAAGCCGTGGATCCCGCTAAAAGGACACTCAAAGATTTGGTTGTAAACATAAATGCACTTAATTCATTAAAAGATTAATGAATGAATGCCATTCTCCTTAAGAACCTTTCGAAAACAAGACTACGGGCCTGGTGAGGACACCCTGTGGCTGGGCACTTGCCTAATGCTAGAGGCCCTGGGTTCAAGTCTCAGCCTAACAAAGGGAAAAGGGGAGATTTCAAAATTAATAAGACTTACTTTAAAAAAAAAAAAAAAAAAGAGTAAAATCTAGAGAGGCCAGAGCAGTTTAAAAGCTATTCTCTTCAGATTGCCAAAGACCAGACAGAACTCAACAAAACATACCAGGAAGACATATATAAGTCACAAATAAACAGCAGAAAGCAAATAGGCAAGAGATTAAGCAGAAAAAGTTAAAATCATAATCAAATACTTTGAGAAACTTTATGTAATAAAGTAATAAACTTAAAAACCAGGATAAGACTGATTTTTTAGAAAAGGTATGAATTATCACATTTTGCTTAAAAGAAAAATTATAAATGTAAAAATGAATAATTATTAAGGACATCTATTCAATATTCAAAAAATCCCCACCCCTAAAAATAGGTTTAGATTAATGACATAGACAAGTTTTACAAAACTTCAAAAACTGCGTGATTCTAATATTGCACATAAATTAGATTTTAATTTATAGGTTTTTGGAAGAACCTTTCTGTCTTAGTTAACTTGTGCATTATATGAAACAAAAATACAAGAAGCAAAGAACAAAGTCATCAAAAATATGGAATACTTCTCAAATTTGCATGTCATTCTTGCTCAGGGCCATTCTAACTTCTCTGTACGGTTCCCACTTTAGTACAGGTGCTGTTGAAGGGAACACCATCAATCGTTTTCTTAAGTAGTGAAGTAGGACAGACACTCAACTCATTTCCTAAGGCATCTTTAATCTTACATCGGATAGAGAATGCTATAAGGGAAAAAACAGACTTACCAGAAAATTGACTTTCAAAAGTTAAGCATGATGTTCTATATGTTAATCAGTAGCTTACAAAATACAATGAAATGGGGTTGATTTAGAGCATAGAATGGTTAGTTAATAAGACAAATGATCATTTCAATAGACTCAAAAAATATTTGTTATCATTAATATCCATTCCTGGTTTTAGAAGACCTATAAGGTTGGAAAAAAAATAAAGTTTTGCAAGAGTAGCAAAGAAATGGGTCACAGTTAGGAATAGGTACTAAAGCCATTGGACAAAATCCAGGCACGGGCTAAACCCCAATAGTGCGAAGTGCTGTGAGGACAGAGGGCGAGTGCTCTTTCGTCCAGGTAATAAAAACACTAGATGATCGAATAACTTTTGGAGAGCAAATTGGAAATACAAACAAGACTAAATGTACTAATGATAGGTTGTAGAAGATCCTAGTTTATTATTTTCACTCATAATTGTTTTAAAAACCAATTAAAACTGAAATGGCATTTAGAATATGCCAGAAATGTTCTTTACATATGTCTTGACTTTAAATCATTCAGTAGGGGCTGGTGAAAAGGCTCAGCAGCTAACAGTGCTTGTCACCAAAACTGCCTGCCCTAGTTTAATTCCCAGAACCTAAATGCCCAAATCGTAGGATGGTAGAATGAATCCCACAAATTGTCCTGTGACTTCTATATACATGCGCGCGCGCGCGCGCGCACACACACACACACACACACACACACACACACACACACACACGGGCATATGCAGAGTAAAAACAAACAAAAAACTAATCATTAAATCCTTGTCTCCTGAAATGGCAACTTGCTCTCTCCACATTTTCCAGACACTGGATCACGAGCACATTAGTAACTGGTTAGTAACTGGAGCCTAGATTCAAACTCCACATTATATGAGATCCAAGCTGAGACTGTATTCGCGTGTTTACTACAGCATGTCTTAGGAACCCAAAGCTTAAGAAAAAAAATAACTAGAAAATGAGTCCATGGTGTACCAAACTTTTGTAATTCAGACTAAATGACAAGGAGAATCCAGGAAAAGTATGGTTCGGAGAGATAAATAACAAGTCCTTATTTATTCTCTCTCTCTTTCTCTCTCTCTCTCTCTCTCTCTCTCTCTCTCTCTCTCTCTCTCTCTCTCTGTCCCCTCTCTTATTCCCTTCCCATTCTTATTAACCTCTACTTTCCCTTTTCCAGATTTATAGTTTTGTGTTGCACTGTGTGACCTATTTAGGTCAACCAGAGCCACTCATGTGACCCCTGTACTGGAACTATCCACTGGAGCCTTGGGGTGGGGGGTCACAGTAGACACCAAAGGCAAAGATTCCCCCTCTCCCTGAAGCATCACAGTAACAATAGTGAGGTCCCTGGATCCCAACAAGACCTGTTCTTCTTTATTCAATCACCAATTCTTTTTCCTAACTTACTCCTTCATTTGAGAAGTTTCTGCCAGGGGGGGGCTAGAGAGATGGCTCAGTGGTTAAGAGAAGTTTCTGCCGGCTGCTGTGCAGCAGAAATAAGAGGCCAAAGTACAGGGCCTTCCCTCAGATCCTGGATTTTCACAGATCCTGTTATTGTTTTTGCTGCTGCCTGGTGTTTTTGGACTGAGGGCACAATGGGAGTTGACCCAAGATCTTACTACATAGCTCTCTGGCCAGGAACTCACTATGTACACCGAGGTTGGTCTTTAACTTGCCCCTCAGATTATAGTAAGCACCACCAAGCCAGTCATGGTTTTTAACATATCTCTGAGGCCTGACTAATCCATTTTCAGCTCCATGAGCTGATCCTGTTGAAACCCACAAAGAAAGAGAACGCAAGTTCCTTTTGTCCTTTATGCTTCTACACCTAATCCTCTCGCTCCTTCCCCAACTCTGCTTTCCAGGATCCTTTGCAGTCAACCCACTGACCTGGCTTCATCCAGGTCACAATGATACTGAAGTTTTTTTTTAACACTAAGTGTGGAGAAAGTGCCCAGAAAATTAGGAAGACTTGAATGAAGGTGTTGTTTGTGATCCTTCCACAGAATGGATTGTCTCATACCGTTACAATGTAGAATGGATTGTCTCATACCGCTACAATGTAGAATGGATTGTCTTAAACTGCTACAATGTAGAATGGATTGTCTCATACCGTTACAATGCAGAATGCAACCCATCCATTACAATAGTATGTTTTCATCCATTGGCTGATTTAGGAAAGATCTCAGGAAAAGCTTGCAGCAGTCCTGGAGAGAACACCTCTCCTAGACTGAAACCCTAGCAATGCAGAAATCCAGTTTGCAATGATAAACAGACTTGTTTGGCAGGATCTTGAGGATGGGCCTCTTCCTTTGGAAGTTTGTTTTTTGTTTTGTTTTTCCCTTACCAACAGAAGCAGTCACAATGCCACCGAATCTACTTTCTCAGTTAATACCTTATAATGCTTAATTAGCACCTAAACCACACTATCCATTGCTAAAAGTTATAATCAGAATTGCTTAACAATTTGCAATGATAATTTTTTGGCAAGCATAAGATAATTCAGAGCTGAAAACAAGATTTTGCGCTATTTGTTTTTTATTTGAATTTTAAGATATTGAATTATTTTATCTCCTCCAAATCTTTCAGGAAAAGATTGAAAATTTTCAAGGTCTTTCAAAAAAAATCAGTTTTCGGAAACATCAGAGAATCTAACAGTTTAAGGCAGAAATTAATATTTCTATGCAGTGGTTGGCTGACACGGCTACCTAAGTAGGAACCCCTTGAGGAGACTTGACTGACCACATCCCACTGTCCTTCTCTGTTCAAGGACATGTGATATTTAACCTGTCTACTGTGTAACTTTCTGTTCAACTTCTGCTGATAAAAGATGGAATCTTATCAACTTGGAAATAAACACTCAAGGTCAGTTCCCTGATGATATCTTAGAGCGTGGACAGCAACCTGTAGAAGACCACTGCTGAGTAGAAGGGCAGGGACCAGAAACTGCATGGTTGCCTGGGAGACACTGGCCTGGCAGACACTCCAGAGGAAGGAGACAGACACAGGGTCCTCAGAGCCTTGCGGGGCCAGGGTTAAGATCCTGGGAACACAAAATGTCAATGACCACTGTTTTTATTGTGTTGCCTTGTGGTGGCCAAGATGCAACGCAGCTTGGTGGAATCCAGATTAGAGCAGCTGATGGAAAGGTTGATCTTCTCAAAGGGCCTGGTCCACACTAACAACTGACTCTTGGTGTTAAAGAAGGGAAGAAAGGAGGGAAGAAGAGAGGGAGGGAGGGAGGGAGGGAGGGAGGGAGGGAGGGAGGGAAAGAAAGAAGGAACTTTAACTGATCTTTTAAAGGAAAGAAGGAAGGAAGGAGAAACAGATGCTCAGAACTGGTTTCAGAGTAAAGAATCTTATATTCTTATTGCAATAAGGGCAACCAAATGACTGCCTGCTCGTTCTCTCTCTCTCTCTCTCTCTCTCTCTCTCTCTCTCTCTCTCTCTGAATCATGGCTTTATTGGAATATAGTTACAACATTCACCCTTTTTTATTGTCTTTGGTCACATCACTGAATATCTCCGACATAAACTGAAAGTCCTTCGCTGTATTTACTTCCTGGCTCTTTACAGAAAATCCTCCCACTCCAGCACCATGAAGTCAGTTTAGAAGAGTGAAAAAATTCTCAAAAATGTGATTTTTTTAAAACTAAACTATTGCCTAGAGCATCAACCTTCTAATTAGCTTCACCCTGATGGAGCTTCTGGAGTGAACAAAAGATGGGTGATAGACTCCTGGAAAAATTGCAGCTATGATGACCATAGATGAAGGATATGCGTGAGCACCAGCTTGGGAATCTCTGGAATGAACACGTTCACCATGAATTTGCCCTGGAGAGAAACTCAAGGTAGACGGAGGAAGAAAGGAAGCAAGGAAAGAGCATATGGAAGGCCCAGAACCCAGAGACAGAACAGGAGCAAAAACTGAAGAATAACAATGGGTCTTGGCGGGGAGGGGGTGCAAGCTACCTCTGGAGCTGCTGTTGATCCTTGGTTCTTTAACGCTGGGGTCTTGGGGCTTTATCCCACCAACAATGGGAGTTCATGAAAGGTTTTAGGCAAGAAGAGAATAACTGATCTTTTAAAGTCTCTGATGAGTCTTGAGATTTTTGTGATTATTAGTTCAAACAGGGTCATGTTTTTATAATGCCAAGCTTAAAAAGCCTCACTCTGCCATTTTTACTTTGGGTGATCTTTTTTTTTTCCTATCTATTCACCTATTTTTAACACACACACATTTCCAAGACAACTGATATACCAAATAGCACTGCTTTAAGACAGCCACCAGGCTTCCCTCGTTGATTATACCAAGAACGCAGCCCTGCATCTCCACACATCTACCCAAGGGCTATCTATACCCCTAGCATATGACAACACTGGGCTTTTGGTAAATCTGAAACACAACCCCCATAAACTGAGATTTAAAAAGAAAAAAAAAAGATAAGGACAGACTTGGAAAGCAGAGACTTAAAATGCTACTGGCAAATGCAGTCACTTACCTGTGGATGTGAATTTGAAAAAGCCAGAAGAAGCCAGAGACTCCACTGTGGAAAGTCAGGGTTGTACAGCCATTCCCAAGATCAGTTTTCATCGTAATAAAACATTGAACAGAAATCAGGTCTTTTCCAGAACGCTGACTATTTGCTTATAGGTCAGTGCCCTAACGTCCAGATCTAGCACAGGTCAGTGACAGGAGAGGAAAGGTCAACCTTACTCAAAGCAGTAACCCCAACCCAGAGCGCACTGGGAACCCTCAGAGGGTATCAACAAGCTTTAGAAACCACTGATTTGCCTTAGAATTCGGCCCGACGGTAGAGGGCCTGGTGAGAGGCTTGGCTCTTCCTTCCTAAGCCCCCCCCCTTTTTTTTTTAAGCTACTTTAAAAAAAATCTAACAAGACAAAATACTTCTAGTCTTCTCCGTCAATTTGAGGTGGCCCTTGTGACATCCCGGGGTTGCAGGCTCTCCGTGATCTGGAACCAGCCCCAAAGTTTTGTGGAGAATTGATAACATGCAGTTGCCTTCTGCTCAGAGCTCTGAGCACACGGGTGACCCTTGACCCTGGTCTGATAAGTCAGTAACCTTAGGCTCTGCCCACCAGGGGCAGTAGAAATGCATGACTTTTAAAACACATTCCTGGTAACGAAGAATCAAGGCAAATGAATGCTTAGAGCTACCAGGCCTCTTCTTCTGCCTCCTCACTGTTAGTCTTAAGGTGGTTCTTTTTACTACTTTTCTTCTTTATTAATTTGAATTGCATTGCTTTTGAAAGTAATAGAGTCATATGAATCAAAATGCTACTTATTTTTTTTATTTTTTCCTTGAAAAGGGGTGGTTGTAGGGTTATTACTGAACATGGGGCCATGACTTGTGCCCCAAGTCAGGATTGGCCACCTGTCATTCATAAGCCAATAAAAACAGGCAAATTAATAACAGAAAGCAGAGAAGGGATATTTATTCATTGGTCCACAGAGACAGAGATCCAGTGAGCACTCAGTCTCTGAGCTCCTGAAATGAGATCAAAGTTTATTAAATAGAGTGTTGGGGACCAGCTTTGACAAAATTCCTATGTTCCAAGGTAGGAATGTGAGGATTAGAATTATTAAGCAAAAAGAACAGAGATATGAGAGAAATAAGAGACAGAAACACAGGACAGCATCAGGAGGGGCATACAGTGAATACTGAACCCCACATTTTCCCCCACATGCTTATATACTTCACCCCAAAAGGGGAGGGAGGAAGCAACAGACTTCATTAACATGGCATAAAGAATAGTCTCGAATTCTCTGACCTTTGGTCCAGGTGGAGCAGATCACCTCTATACCCAAAATACTAATTAACCACACTCTAGATCAGTATCGCTTGTTTGCAGCCATGCCTGTTGTCAACAACTTTGAAAGAGCAAAAATAGGCTCAAACTCTCTGCCCTTTAGTCAAGGTGCAACAGGCTCACACCTGTGTGTGCCTTCACAATAGAGCGCCAAAGAAATGCACCTCTAAGAGGTTCCTGCCAAGGTGTGGTCCCACCTACCACTGACCGTGCTTCCATCTTGCTCCTGTAAGGCAGTCGAAGAAGTTGTTAGAACTGTGTGAAACCTCAAGAGACAAGTACCACCACCCTGCCACTGGTATCTCTTCCTTATCCCAGCATGAGCATCTCAGTGAAACTGCCATTTCTTTGGGGTGCACTCTTTCAGTAGTCCGATGGGCAGATTGAGAGGTGCACTTTAGAACGTCTTCATTTCTTCCAGGCCAGCCAGAGGACCCTGAAGAAGACCGATCGTGCTTGGCAAGTCCTTCTTAAAGCATGCCCACCGTGCCCACAGATGGCTTTTGAGCAAAAAATGCTGGATGTTGCAATCCAGTGGCATGATGTTTACCTAAAGTGGTGAAGACAAGCCAAGAAAGACTTTCAGAGGCAGGGAGAAGGGTTGCAGTCTGAGACTGTTAACCCAGTAGTAGCACAGAATAGCAGGGAATGGCCAGCTATGCTTTTATTATTATATAAATAATTTTTTGCTTCATTATTATCATTCTACGGCTCAATATGAATTGTAGAAACTCAACATTAGTCATCTAACCCAATACATACAATCGGCTGTACTTGGGTAGTACAGGGAGCAACAGAAAGAAAAACAGCTAACGTCGTTTCCTTGGGTACCTCTGTTTTTCAAGCAAGTCATGTGGACGGATGTAGTTCCTGTAGCTTCGCTCACTACAGAGGGAGCCAAAAACAAATGACCTCATATTTAGGTTCTACCGTTTACTGGAAACTTGACTTAGCTAAGGTCATGACTTGGCTAGCTTCATCTCCCCAACATGAACTCCACCAGGCTTTGCGTGAGATGAAGTCGATAGTGGAGGAAAGTTCTTATTCATCCAAGGACCGGGGATGACAAAGCTTCTATCATCCTTTAGATGCAGCTCTCAGGGTTTCCTTGGATATTGACATCTATCGCACAAGGGAAGGATGAGACATAGGATAATTTACATGAACAGTTTCTATGAGCCAAACTTGGGAGTGGCATTCATTATTTCTGGCCACATTCCATTCACAAGGACGCTTGTCATATGGCCGCCCCTTATTGAAAGAGAAACTAGGAGATTAGGTCTAACTATGTACCTACAAAATCCCGTTAAAAGCTAGACAACCTCAAGAGGTGGGGTTTGAAATCACAAAGACGGTGGTTTAGGTAGTACTACTTATATGACCGAAGTCAGTGACTCTGTCTCAAATATCCTTTGAGAGCCTCGTAATGAGGCATAATCAAATTAAGGAGAGCAGCTACTACAACTCAAAACACATTCTCAGAAAGTCTCAAAGAACTGATGAAAATATTATTGCTTTTAACTAAAAAAATTAATATGAAAACATAATAACCCCAAATAGCCAAAGTTATGCTAAGGACAGAACCATTAGAGATAACACAGTGTTTGATTTCAAATTATACTACAAGCTAGAGTAACGAGGCCACGTGATACAGGCACAAAACCCGACAATACCAAAGGACTACGATAGAGGACCCACGCAGCTGTGACCACTTACCATCTGACAAAAATGAGGAAAACACGGGTCAGAGAAAAGACAGTCTCTTCAACAAGTGTGCTGGATAAGCAGATATTCGCCTGTGTTAGAGTGAAGCCAGAACTATATGTCTTGTCCTGAATGAAGATCCATTGAAAACTGCATCAGCCTCCTTAACGTGAGACTGGAATCCCTGATATGGTTAGAGGAAAGCAGGGGAAATACTTCAACATGGAATACAGTTTGCACTTTCTGAAACACGGCCCCGGTAGCGCAAGAAATTCTCCCAAAAACTGATGGATGGGATTGTCTGAAGTTAAAGGGCGGCTCAGTGAAGGAAACAATCCCCAGGGTGAAGAGACAGCTACAGAATGGGAGAAAATCTTGGAGAGCATCTACAAAGAACTTCAAAATTTAGACAGCAAAAGATCAATCCTCCAGTCAATAAATGTGCAAATACATGAAGCAAACAGTTCTCAAAGAAGAAATACAAATGGCCAAAGTGTATTTGAGAAGTTATTCGGCATCCTTAGCCATCAGGAAAATGGAAGATAAAACCATATTGGGATTCTGTCTTACCCTAGTCCTTGTCAGAATGTCTCCTGAACCTCCCCGCTCCCAAAAAGGAACAAATAACTGTCAAGGATGTGGAGGAAAGGGGCCCTTTAGACACTGCTGGTGGGAATTTCTACAACCACTATAGAAATCAGTATGGAGGTTTTACATAAAGCTAAACACTGCACAACTATAACATTCAGGTATACGCTCTGAGATATACTTAGACTAATTAACACATCACAGACATATCTACCTGCGTATTCCTGCTTGACAAACTGTTCACATTGCTCGTGCTATGGAACCAGTCCAGATGCCCTCCAACAGATGAATAGATAAAAACAATGTGATAGATACAGGTATAGAGAGATATAGAGGGATGAATCCAGTTGTTTAAATAAGTTAAAAAATTGTGAAATAAGTAAGTGGGTGAAACGTTGTTCTCTCCAGCTGCTTGCCATCTTCGGCACACAGCTCTTGGACAGAACTTCTGTTTTTATTTTTCTCTTCCCTCTCTAACAGAGGAAAAGGCACTAGAATATAGACTTGATTCTGTCAGGGGTTATTCGATCACACTGCGAACCCCAAGACTGTATTTGTGATAGTTAAATAAGATTAGCCTTGGGTCAGGAGGCTGAGTTAGCAACTAGTCAACAGAAAGTAGTCCTAGAGCATCAGGGGCTTCCGAAAGAGTTAAATAAATGGACAGGGAGTCACTGGGAGGGACTTGGAATGCTAGGGCTTTTTATGCTGTAGGGGGGCAGGACACTCTCCTTCAGAAACACCAGCAAGGAGAGAAGGTTCGCTAGTTGTGACCCAGCTTCTCTGAGCTCACAGGTTTTCTCCCCAGCCTTTGAATCTTGAGTCTTATTTATAAAGAGAATCATAGAGCTTTAGTTAAAGCTATCTGTAGCAGTCAGGTGGTGGTAGCACACACCTTTAATCCCAGAACTCGGGAGGCAGAGGCAGGTGGATCTCTAAGAGTTCAAGGCCATCCTGGTCTACAAGAACTAGTTCCAGGACAGGAAAAAAAAAAAAGCTACCTAGTGGCAGTGACAGAGTTGGTGAAAACAGATTTCCCTGCAGGCTGCAGCCTGAGTGACGAGACCACTACCAGAGAAGCAGGCTGGTAACTGCAGAGTCCCAATCGCTGACTGGAATAGCAGTAGATTAGGGTGCAGCCACAGTGCTGAAGTCAAAAAGACTTGATTAATTAGCTAATCTTTTCTCCTGGACAGATATGGTGGCAGACACCCATGATCCCAGGACTTAGAAGGTCGAGGCGGGAATATATTGTAAGTTGAGGCTGGCCTAAACTACATAGTGAGACTATGTCAAACAAACAACATATATCTATACTATATCTATATCTTTATCTATAGAAACACACACACATATACCTTGACTGTAATCGTTCTTGTTTTTTCTTTCTCTTTCCCTGACGCACCATTAAAGATGATGTCAGGTAACACCAGAAATTTTACAACAGAGAGGAATAAGTCAAATAAATGAGAAAATCAGGGAGAAATCTGCTGTAGACTAAAAGAAGTCACTAGTAAGTGCTGCACCCTTGGTGTTCAGTCATTGCTACTGTTACGTGGATTCTTTCGTCCCTGGAGGGGAACCAGCCTGCCTAAGGCCTTGGCTGATGGGTTTCATGTCTGAGTTTTATCCAGAACACCTCCCTCCTGGTGATGCAGCCGTCTTGGAAATGATTCTTCACTGGTGCCTGTTTACAGGCAAGCCCGGGTCACGGCGGTGCGTGCCAAGTGAGTATAAATTTGGCGTGGGTGGTGTCTACTACTACTCCCTAGCTCAGAGCAAGGTGCTTCATGCTTCACACAATGTAGACTGGGAACTGGGAATAGTTTTGCCAAACCTGTCCTACGTGTCTTGAAAAACAACCAAATAAACTCCTGAACTCTGCATCTATCTTTCGTTAAACTTTCCACCACATGTATAGTGAAAACGAGACAGGCACGTTGTTTTTATTATTGAGTTTCAAATGGCTGCATCGAGTCTCTCAACCCTTATTTATTAATGCTGGGTGACACCTTAAGAACCAGGACCTTGGCCTGTGAAATGCTACCACAGCAGTACTAAGCTGGGTTCTCTTATGGACCCAAACAGATAGAATGAATATATGATAATAAAAGGGGATTTACTAGGCTGGCTAAGGATGTGTGTGGTCCAGGTAGTCTAACAAGGTCTGGTTCCTAATGGAAAGGCCAACAAGTCCAGGCTGCTGTGCATCTGGACCATAGGATCCAGCAGACCTGATGGCACTTACGGTGGCAGTGGTAGATAGGGGTGCTAGCTGGAGCCTTGGACAGGCCTCTTAGTTTTGCTTCCTATTGTTCTGATAAAGGCCATGGCCATAGGGAGCTTGAGAAAGGAAAGGGTCCATTTCATCATGTCACTCCCAGGTCACAGTTCATCACTGAGGGAAGTCAGAGCAGGAGCTCAAACAAGGCAGGAACCTGGAGGCAGAAGCTGATGCAGAGGCTATGGAGGGGTGCTGCTTACCGACGTGCCCAGCCTGCTTTCCGCCAGTCCAGAGGCGGCATTGCTCACAGTGAGCCAAGTCCTCCCACGTCAGTCATTAATCAAGAAAATGCCCTACAGGCTTGCCTGCCATCCCTTAGGATGGAGTCAATTCCGCGTTGAGAGTTCCTCATTCCAGATAAGTCTAAGAAAAAAAAATTATCAAGTTAAAAAAAAAAAGTCAGACAAGCAGTGAGTTACCTAGACCCAATTCGCTAATTCACTGCTAACCCTAACCCTTTGAAGCCACATGATTGAAGAGTCACAGTTGAAATAATCACTGAAAGTCCCTAACCAACAGGTGTGGTGTGCGCTTCTGTAATCCCAGCACTCCGGAAGTAGAAGCAAGACCCTGTCCTGAAAGCAAACCAAACTAAAAAGGAGCTGGCTATGCAGACCCTGTCTTAAGCACCAACCTTCAAACTAAGACAGGAAAAAAAAAAAAAAAAAACAATTAAGAGATCGGAAGCCAGATCTAACTTGCATCCACTCTGGGAGAGCTGGCGAGAACCTCTCTGGATTCCTGCAGACCCTACACCAGAGTTCACATAGCCTCAAAGATGTGCTATTGGATATGGAAGGACCGCTTCCTGCACTCTCAGGAGTCCATCTCAGCATCCTCCATGCTTACTTAAGGATATATGCTAAAGGCAGTTTACTATGCCACTTCTCCCCGTGTTATCCCCCTCCCGCTCTCCCTCTTCCTCCCACCCTCTCCATTCTTCATAACTGTTGTTTGTATAGAAACGAACACACGTGTCAAGGGGAAGCAAAACTCAAAACGCATCATGTTCTATGAAATTTCACACCCTATCCTCGAAGTCAAGTTGCTCCTTAGAGAGCTTTACCGTTACTTTGCTGAACCTTGCCTGAAAGTCACTGTTTTATGTTACGAGTTTCTACCAAAAGTCTTCCAAGTTTATAGAAGTTTAAGGCAAACATGCATTCAAGGAAAGTTGGCTCCAGGACAAGACCCAGGTCCAGCCAAACTAGACATGGTTATTATATCCCTCTTCTGCTTTCAGTGAGAGTGTCAGTCAGATATGTGACCCAGTTTTGTCCGGTGCAGAAGATCTTTACTGGTCACCTTTAGGAGTTTTAACAGGGGAAATTATTTCATGATTACATTTTTTTTCCTGTTTTCAACATCTATCAAGGGCTACAGTAACCACCTGGTGATCATGACATGATACACAAATGATGAAGATTTACTTGCTGAGGATGCCGGGGTGGGGGGTTTGGGAAGAGAAACACCTGGGACTTGATGGTAGCATTAACCCATTAAACCAACCCTGATCCCAAATATGGTGAGGTTCCATGGCATATAAAACAATCACCTGTATGACTTAAGCCATTATCATTGGAATATCCCTTCTGCATCTACACTAACTTCTAATGCCTATATACCCAGAAAGCTTCAGACATTACATTTTATACTTTGCAGAAAGAGGTACAGGAAGACCCCTCCTCACACACCGATTTTCTCAGAGATAAAATATTCTGCCTTGAAGGGAAGCTTGCTGAGCTCAGGAAGTAAACAACTCGAAAGCTTCAGAAAGTCCCTGAAGTTGACCAGATTCTCTAAACTCCTCCCTCCCCAAGCTCACATAAGTAGCAAAAACTGCTGAGAGACACTCTCAGACAAGTAGAGCTACCTGAGGCAGAGACCAGCTAAGCCTCCTGCAAATGACCGTCCCCGACCTGTTGTGCTGCCTGTAAATTATGCACTGAGCTCCAGGTCTCCAGCATTTGGGTTTCCAGCTTTTCCACACTAGGGTGGGATTTTGATGATATAACCAACTTTGAGTCGTTCCTGTTCCTGTAAGTAGCCACTCACTCATACTCCTGAAAGGAACCACAATAAAACTCAATATTCTACTAAGTTGAACTTCAGCTGTATCCTTTCTTTGGTCTGTAGCTAGCTCCATATCTGGGATGAGTAGACAGGTGTTTTTTTTTTTTTTTATGTCTCTTCAAGAATAGTGTCATACAGCACGCACGTACACACACACACGTATGCAATTATATATATTCTGGAGATTTTAACATAGGGAATTTAGAAGGTGATAAAAGAAAGCAAGACAAGGAAGAACAAAGCAGTTCACATCTCAAATCCCTAAACCAACAACTCATGACTTCAATGACCTTTGACTTCCTTCATCTCCCTTATGTGAGTTCCTGATATGTCACTCATTCATGACGACTATTAAAGCAATGAGCATCTCTGCCTCCTTACTCTGTTTCCTGAATCTCTTATTGCTTGGCTCAATCATACTGGCTCAGCCAGCCATTCGGGTTGTCAGCATGCTGAAGTCATGGCATGGTCTATCCATAGCTTTACTGAAAAGACTATGACGATTATGATGAGCTTAAGTCTGGAGCTAAATCTCTGGCGATGCCTCCAAGGTAAAGTTATCTTGTCTAGCCCCTTGGGGAGCGCTACACCTACCTCAAGCCCAGAAAAAAAAATCCTGGTCTACCTGGTGGCTCCAAAGCGTTGACAGTGAAAGAAGCTGTGTTGAATGCAGGGCTGCAGATATGGCTTTTTATCTGTGGGAGCATACGCAAAAGTATGCCACTTTGAAGACTGTCTCTAACACTGACTATTTTAGTTTAATATTTGCATGTTGTTGAGCCATGTGTAATCAGACCGATGTCTACATCATATTTATTATATATGTATATATGGTAAGTTTGTATAACTACCTTATTTCCAACGCTCTTTCTCAATTCTTACCTTTAAGTATTTAAGCCCCTAAATTCCTTATAACTTCTACCTCTGAGGAAGTGTATCCCCCTTTCTTCACATTCTCACTGAATTTACTTATAGATGTCCCCCTTTCAAACAAATACAGAGACCCACAACCAGACATGCAGAAAGAGCGAAAGAAAGACCTTGGAACACTCCGCTGTAAGTGGGATGTCTCCATCACATCCCTCCCCTCAGTGCTCAGGCAATCCCATAGAAGAGGAGGCAGAAGGACTAAAAGACCCAGAGGGAATGGAGGACACAGGAGAACAGGGCCCTCTAAACCAACCGAGCAAAGCTCATATTACCTCACAGAGACTGCAGCAGCAAATACAGGGCCTACAAGGGTCTGCACCAGGTCCTCTGTGTATGTACCATGGCTTCCTGTTTAGTGTTTTTATGTGATTCCTGAGTGTGCGAATGGGTGGGTCTCTGATTCTTGTGCCTTCTCTTGGGGCTCTTTTCATTGTCAGTTTGCCTTGTCCAAATTTGATGTGAATTTGTTTATGGGGTTTTGGCTTTGTTTTGTTTGTTTTTGGTTGTTTTTCATATTTTATCTTATTATATCTTTTGTTTTGTTTGGTTGTTATCTCATAGAAGCCTAGTATTTTCTTTTTTGTTGTTTTTGTCATAATATTTATNAAAAGGGTATGAACTTTAATATATATAAATATATGTATATTTATGTATGTATATATACATATATTTATTAAAAAGAGTGTAAGTAAAAACTAGAGAAACACTGTCCCAGCTCTGGCAGACCATGACACCGACTTTCGTCACTGCACCACTGTGACTCAGGATCAGATGCGGATGGCACAGCTTTTACACTGATTATAAATTGCTTTCAAAAGTAATTGATTTGGACTTTCCATATCCTTTAATGAACTGCAAATATATTAACAGAAAAGACTTCCCCCCACAAAGACTATACAACTTCTGAAATAAGTCAGGAAAAGCACAAAGGAGTCACAAAAGTACATTGTTTCAGTGCAAACAGAACACACACACATCACACCCACACCTGCATTTCCCAAAGAAAATGGGCGGTCAGCTATCTGTTTCAGCCGAAGACCTATACCGCACTCTGGCTAATCAGAGACTTTCAAACTGTTTTTGGTTTTGGTTTTCAAAGAGAGTGTTTTAACAGACTAAACACTGGTCACCATTGTGTTTTTGTTTAAGGTACAACAGCAGCATGGTTCAAATGTTACTTGCAGCCCTTGGGTAACATAAAACATTTTAAGTAACGAAATACAGAAAGAGTTAAGAGACCACCTGCCATCGTTTTGCCACTTACCATCTGTTCTCCTGGAAAAAAAAAATTCTAACCTTCTAAAATCCTGGTGTACTAAGCATTTCCACAGGAAAAGGAAATCCAATGCTCTAATATCCTCTGGGCGAGAGTGTGGATTTATATGTGTACGTGTGGGTAGGTGTGGAGAAAGGACAGCGAAGTACTTAGTATTCTTAATTCCCTTCATCGCACTGTCTGAAATTTGAAACAAACATCTGGCTTACCAAAGTGTCTTTCTGGTAGTTTGATCCCCATTCTTTGAAAAGAAAAGAAGAAAAAGAAAATAAAACAACCCAGAAAAAGACACGGTGGCTGGCTTGAGAGACAGTCGCAGACACTTTGGCCAGCTCCCGTGGTTCCTCACACCTGCCTTCAATAGTTCAGGGTCAGCGCCTTATTGCCACCCAGAAGCCTAGCATTTTCTAATAAGAGACAGAAAGAGAGTATACAGATAGGAGTGGATGTAAGGAGGAAGTGGGAGAGGTGAGAGGATATGTAATCAGGATATATTGTATGAGAAAAGAATCTATTTTCAATAAAAAAGGAAAAATGCAAAAATAAAAATTTTCAGAAATAAAAGTTTCCCCCCTTTCAAGGGCCTGCAGCTGAGCCTTTGTCCAAGCTGTCAGAGAGCATCTTATTCCTGTGTCCTTAGTTCTCACTTTGTAGCCTAACATTTCTGATGAATTTCTCTTATTCATCTACAGCCTTAAAAGGTCGCTAAGCAGCCCAACGTGTTCAGTTTCTCTTCTCCATTACTGGAAATTCCTGATTCATCTTAAGCCTAAGAAAGACCTCTCCTTATCCTTGACTGACCTCAGTTTTCAATTCCTCCATCTCGGAGCCTAGATGCTGGGAGGCCACCCACGTTCACGACACACACGAGGGATGATCTAACTGTTAGGATGCACGGCCTTGGAAATAGTGGTGGCTCATTGCTCCCTAAGAAGACCATACTAGGATAGCTATTCCCTCTAACCTGGCTTCCTTTCATTTATTCATTCAGAGAATACCTTTTTAACCCAAGACTATCGGCCAACAAAGAAAAGCCTGATGTTTGGGTAGGCACTGCAGACAGGAATAAGCAAAGCGGGTATAGTCTCATGAAGCTTACCGTTCAAAGGAAAACCAATAATAAATAATAAGCCATCATGGAAACTGCCATTTGAGTGTCAAAAATCTGAGAAGACCTATTCATAAATATTCCAGAGACAGGGCTGAGCAAAGGGACCTGACATCTTGAGGACTTAGACATCGCTAGTCTGAGGAAGGTGTGTCAAAGGCCTTGGCCGTGATAAAGAAGGAAAAGGAGAAAACAGCCTGTATGGCCTGCCCAAGGCGGGGAAAGCTGTCAGACAAATCAACTAGAAGAAGGCCGCCGTGGCTGGAAATGGTGAGACAGGCAAACGATGCTGTGACCCATGGGTAGAGAGGTGGGCAATGTTAGACCCAACAGAAACCCCAGGATGAATGTCTGTGATGCCTATTAGCACATCAAAGCACATGCTAGCCTCTTGGCTTCCCCAGAAAGTGCCTGTTACAGAGTCCCGGGGTGGCATCCTGGCTCCTCTGAGCTCTCCTCACCCTACTCCCTCCCTAAACTTCTCCAGCCCATGAGTTTTGATTCCCTCCCCCTGCTTCTGATTTCCTACATAACCCCGCCATTTTGGCCCTGCGCTCTCTTGGCACCATTTGCTCTCTCATCTCTTGGTCTACTTGCCCCTCTCTCTTCTCTTCCTCTCTTCCTCTCCCTCCCTGCCCTCTCCCCCCTCTCATTGACTTGGTTCAGTCTACCAACCATGTTTAGTCTACTGCTTTCTCTCCCTGCTCTGGACGCTTCCAGATGCCTCTGGCTGTTCTCTCTCTCTCTCTCTCTCTCTCTCTCTCTCTCTCTCTCTCTCTCTCATATCTACAATAAAAGCCTTCTCCTCAACCATACCTTAGAGAGGCTATGCCCTCATTTTCGTTCCAGCAGAAGGCTGATCATGCAGACCTCGTGAGTCATATTATGATTTGGAAGCATGTGAAGAGCGTGCTGTCTAGCTTGCATTCACCCTGAGTGCAGGGAGTTTGGGTTGGGCAATCTGGGAAGCAAAGAAGTACGTGGATTGCTTGAGTGATCCAAGAAAATGTGGCCTGCCAACTTTGTCTTGTTTTCCCTATAGTGGACTTGGCAAGAGATGGACACTTTACAGGGGCATGTATCAGGTTATCGTTTATTAATTATTGAAGGCAATGGGAATTACATCTTTCTCTGCCAATCCCATATAACATTCCAAATCATGTAACTACACGAAGGTTCCACTACTCCAACACACACACACACACACACACACACACACACACACACACACACACGTCTCTTGCTCTAGAAGACTTTCTCTGTTTCTGCTAAATCTAACCCTACTGATGAACTGATGACTCCCTTCCTCCTGGCTTCATCCCAAGGCCACCTCAGCCTTTTCCTTCTGTTCTTTCCTGGCTCCTCTTTCCAGTCCGGATGACCTCCTTCCTCTCACAGCTGTGGTAGAAAGAGCTCCCCACCCCCCAAACCCCGGCCCCCACTCACTCCCTCTTCCTGGTCTCAGTGCCCAGGGGCCTTGAAGATGAACCAGCTGGATGAAGAACCAGGGCAGCTATTTTTTTTTCCTGCATGAGATGACAGGAAGGCCACCTGCCCACCGGGTGTAATGTTCTCTCCTGGACAGATTTCCAGCTATGACCAGACATCAGTTCCTGCTTCTCAATGGCCTTGCTCAGGCTCTTTCTCCATCTCCTCTGACCCAGCTCTGATGCACCGGTCCAGGCCACGACTCCTTGCTCCACTGCAAGCTAGGGAGTTCCCTTCGGCGACTTCCTTTTGAGAGCTTTGCTGTAAACTGTCCCCGTTTCTCTCTTCTCCCATTCCATTCCCCCAAATCTGGTGCTGATGCCAGCCATGGCCCCGTCTTCTTCTGCACGTGCTCTCTATGGCTAAGAAGAAAGGAAAACATTAGTGAACTTCTGTGGCTTTCCCCAAAGATTCTAGCCACTAGTCACTGTTTCTTACAGCAGAGAAATGCCGTCGCGTCTCCACCTTCAATCTCCCTTGCTAGACAGACTTCTTTCTTAATATACGTTTTCAGACTATAACACTATTACACCATTTCCCCCTTTCCTTCTCTCCCTCCAGCCCTTCCCAAGTACCCCCCATCTTGCTTTCACTCAAATTTGTGATCTCTCTTTTTCTTTAATTGTTGTTATATACATACGTGTTATCTGTATATGTGTTATGTATGTGTGTATTAGAAAATATATAGATATACCCTGCTCACTGTGTCTATTCATAAATATACAAATACAGCTGGTTCAGCCCATATACCGTTTGTGCTATGTTTTCAGGGCTTATTTGGCATTGGAAAATGAATTGTTGTGTTCTTCCCCAGGGAAGACAACTGCCCCTGTCCTCAGCATTCCTTGGTTGCCTGTTCTTCTTTGTCTAAGGCTGAGGCTCTGTAAGCCTGTCCCCTTAGCATGGCTATCGGTGGTGTCCCTGTTCAGCTCCTGTTTAGGGAGCCGTTTTGCTGAGGCTTCACTGTCTCTGGTGTCTCTAGGACACACTGTCTCACAGCGAGTGGTCTGGTCCTCCGGCTCTTCCAATCTTCCCACTTCCTCCTCCACAACCAAGCCTGACCCTTAGGGGCAGGAGCTGTGCTGTAGATCAATCAGTTGGGACTGGATTCCACAATTCTGCCCTTTGATGAGTTGCAGTTTTCTGTAATGGCCTCCATCTTACTGCATGAGGCGTGGGAACTATACTTACCTGTTGGAATAAGGATACATGTTTAAAATGTAATTAGGGGTTTTTGCTGATTTATTAGAGTGTTGGTCGTATGCTCACCTCCAAAATCTATGACTTTACTAGCCCCAGGTAATTGACTAGGTTTCTAGTGCCAGATAGGATTTCTCTCTTGTTGAATAGGTCTTTGTAAAAAAAAATATTTATTAATTTTATGTATGAGTGTTCTCTATCTGCACATTTCCCTTTATGCCAGAAGAAGGTATCAAATCCCTCTCAGATGGTTGGGAGTTACCATATTGTTGCTTGGACTTGAACTTAGGACCTCTGGAAGAGTAGCCAGTGCTCTCAACCACTGAGCCATCTCTCCATCCCATTGACCAGGTCTTCAGTCCAATTGGGAAGATATTGTTTACTGCCAAGGTATGGATGCCACTATGGCATCCTTATGGTTATCTTGCCATTCTGGTCATTGCGGTTCATAAGCTTCATAGATTGGTAGAACAATTGGCTGTTTCCCTCCTCTGGAAGCCCATATGGTACCTCTGATCCTGTAAAAGCTAATCCTCAGAAAGGAAGCTTTCAGGCCAGATCTAACTCAAGTCTTCTAGGTCCTGTGTCTGACGTGCAGTGTCTTCAACAATAGGGACTTACCTTCCACCCATGGAGTAGAAGGGGTGGTGCCAACCAAGGGCAATAACATTTTGTTTACAATGTCTGGGAGTGTCTTGGATAACCCTGAACAACAATTCAAAGGAGGGCATCTCATGTCTGGTTTTGGGGGCTTTTGTAAGATTTTCTATAGTATAGCTCTTGGGGTAGCATTGCCAGCCCAGATGTGGACCCCTTTTTGCTTTCTTGGTTTCTGAGGTTAGTCCAGATTGTATGCTCACATCAAAGACTTGGGTCTGTCAATGTTAGGTGAGAGACAGGCTTCATCATTTGCCTTTCTGGACCCCGGGCCATCTCACTCAGTCTGATGGTTCCTAGTTCCATCCATTTAGATGATAGATTAATTTCAATCCCTTGTGTTCTCACTTCTTGAGAGGTTTTCTTTCTTTTTCGTCCTTCCTTCCTTCCTTTCTTCTTTTCCTTTATTTATTTATTTATTTATTCATTTATTTAATTTTCTTAAGATTCATTTATTATGTACTATGTTCTGCCTGCATGTATGCCTTCATGACAGAAGAGGGCACTAGATCTTATTACAAATGGTTGCGGGATCCACCATGTAGTTGCTGGGAATTGAACTCAGGACCTCTGGAATAGCAGCCATATACCAATCCTAGTTCCTTCTTCCTCCTCCTTATTCCCACCCCACCGCCTTCCCTTCTTCAGAGAGGTTAAGCCTTCCCTGGGAAGTCAACTAATTCTGTCCCACTACCTCATAGAGGCAGGACCAAGGCCCTCCCCTGCTAACCCCCTTGCTAGGCTGACAGAGGTATCTCTACATAGATAATGGGCTCCACAAAGTCAGTGCATGCATCAGAGTTAGATCCCCATATACTATCCCAATATACTATCCAAGCCACACCATCGTCACCTCTATTCGGGGTCCTAGTTCGGTCCTATGCAGGTTCCCCAGTTGTCACTTCAAAGTTGATGATCATCAACTAATTCAGGTCAGTTGATTCTGTGGATTTCCCCCATTGTGATCTTGACCCTTTTGTTGATATTGTTGCTGGTCGCTCTCCTCACCTGGAGTCTGGTCCAGTGGTTAGTTGTGGATCTCTGCATCTGCTTCCGTCTGTTTCTGGAAGAGAGTTCTAGCTTCTCTGGGGCTGTGGACTATAGAATAATTATCCTTTGCTTTATGTCTGGTATCCACTTATGAGTGAGTCTTTCTAGGTCTGGGATGCCTCGCTCAGGATGGTTTTTACTAGTTCTGTCCATTTGCCTGCAAATTTAAAGATGCCATTACTTTTTACCATTGAGCAGTAATCCATTGTGTTCCACATTTTGCTTATCCTTTCTTTGGTTGAGGGACATTTAGGTTGTCTCCAGGTTCTGGCTATTATGAATAATGCTACTATGAACATAGTTGAGCATGTGGTGTGATTTGCTTCTTTTGGGTTTATGCCCAAAAGTGGTATTGCTGGTTTGTGAGGTAGATTGATTCCTAATTTTCTGAGAAATTGCCATACTGATTTCCACAGTGGCTGTACAAGTTTGCACTCCCACCAGCAATGGAGATGTGTTCTCCTTTCTCCACATCCTTTCCAGCATAAGCTGTCATCAGTGGTTTTGATTTTACCTATTCTGATCAGTGTAAGATGGCATCTCAGAGATGTTTTGAGTTTCATTTCCCTGATGGCTAAGGATGTTGAACATTTATTTCCTTAAGTGTCTTTCAGCCATTTGAGATTCCTCTGTTGAGAATTCTGTTTAGATCTGTACTCCATTTTTTAATTGAATTATTTGGTAATTTGATATCTAGTTTCTTGAGTTCTTTGTACTTTGGAGATCAGCCCTCTGTCTGATGTGGAGTTGGTTAAGTTCTTTTCCCATTTTGTAGGGGTCATTTTGTCTTGTTGACAGTGTCCTTTGCTTTACAGAGCATCTCAGTTTCAGGAGGTCCCATTTATTAATTGATGCTCTCAGTGTCTTTGCTACTGATGTTATATTTAGGATTTGGTCTCCTGTGCCAATGCATTCAAGGGTACTTCTCATTTTCTCTTCTATGAGGTTCAGTATGGATGATTTTATGTTGAAGTTTTTGATCCATTTGGACTTGAGTTTTGTGCATGGCAAGAGATATGGATCTATTTTCATTCTTCTACATGTTGATATCCAGTTATGCTAGCACCATTTGTTGAATATACCTTTTTTTCATTATATATTTTTAGGATCCTGGAAACAACCTAAATGCCCCTCGACCAAAGAATGGATAAGGAAAATGTGGGACATTTACACAATGGAGTACTACACAGCAGAAAAAAATAGCATCTTGAATTTTGCAGAAAAATGGATGGAGCTAGAAAACATTATTCTGAGTGAGGTAGCCCAGACACAGAAAGACAATTATCACATGTACTCACTCATAGGTAGTTTTTAAACATAATGCAAAGAAAACCAGCCTACAAACCACAATCCCAGAGAACTTATGCAACAATGAGGACACTAAGAGAGACATACATAGATCTAATCTACATGGGAAGCAGAAAAAGACAAGATCTCCTGAGTAAATTGGGAGCATGGGAACCTTGGGGGAGGATTGAAGGGGAGAGCGAGCAGAGAAAAATGTAGAGCTCAATAAAAATCAATTTAAAAAAAAGA